CTCCTCGCCCCAGTTGCTGGTGGTGGATGCTTTGACGAAGATGAGTCGGTAGAGAAATTGAGATTTAGCTTCTGGAATCTCAATTCTATTCCATTGGTCTATATCCCTGTTTTTGTACCAATACCAAGTTGTTTTGATTATTGTAGCTTTATAGTAAAGTTTGAAGTCTGGTAACGTGATACCACCTGCTTTGTTTTTTTTTTTTTTTGCTGAGGATTGTTCTGGCTATTCTTAGTCATTTATGTTTCCATATGAATTCCTGTATTGTTTTTTCTGGGTCTGAGAAGAATGTTGCTGGTAATTTGATGGGTATTGCATTAAATCTGTAGATTGCCTTAGGTAGGATGGACATCTTCACAATGTTGATTCTTCCAATCCATGAGCATGGAATATTTTTCCACTTGTTTGTGTCATCTTCGATTTCTTTGAGCAGTGTTTTGTAGTTTTCATTGTAAAAGTCTTTCACATCTCTGGTTAGGAAGATGCCAAGGCATTTCATTTTTTGTGTGACTATTGAGAATGGAATTGTGCTTTTCATTTGGGTTTCTGTTGGTTTATTATTGGTGTAAAGAAATGTGATTGTCTTTTATACATTTATTTTATATCCTGAGACTTTGCCAAAGTCCTTTATCAGTGTAAGAAGGTTTTTGACAGATTCTCTTGGGTTTTCAAGGTACACGATCATGTCATCTGTAAAGAGAGATAACTTGACTTCCTCTTTTCCTATTTGGATGCCCCTGATTACCTTCTCTTCTCTGATTGGTCTCGCCAGGACTTCCAATACTATATTGAACAGGAGGGGTGATAGTGGGCATCCTTGTCTTGTTCCAGTTTTCAAGGGAAATGATTCCAATTTTTATCCATTTAGGAGTATGCTGGCTGTGGTTTTCTCATAGATGGCTTTTGCTATTTTGAGGTATGTTCCACATATGCCTAGATGTTCGAGGATTTTTATCAAGAAGGAGTGCTGGATTTTATCAAAAGCTTTTTCTGCATCTAATGATATAATCATGTGGTTTTTGTTTTGACATCTGTTGATATATTTAATTATATATATGGTTTTACGAATGTTGAACCAGCCTTGCATCCCAAGGATGAAGCCTACTTGGTCATGATGGATGATTTTTGAGATGTGTTGTTGAATCCGGTTTGCTAGGATCTTGTTGAGGATTTTAGCATCTATGTTCATCAAAGATATTGGCCTGTAGTTCTCTTTCTTTGTTGGGTCTTTACTTGGTTTGGGTATCAGTGTGATGTTAGCTTCGTAAAATGATTTGGGGAGAGTTCCATCTTTCTCAATCACCTGGAATACCTTCAATAGGATTGGTATCAGCTCCTCCTTAAATGTCTTGTAGAATTCTGCTGGAAAGCCATTTGGACTTGAGCTTTTTTTTGTAGGTAGTTTTCTTATTATGTAGTCAATTTCCTTGATTGTTATTGGTCTATTTAGGGTCTCAAATTCTCCCTGTTTCAACCTAGGCAGGTTGTGTGATGTCAGAAAGTCCTCCATTTCCTTAAGTTTTCCAGTTTGTTTCCATTCAAGTGTATGTAGTAGTCTCTAATGATCTTTTGTATTTCTTCAGGATCAGATGTGACTTCATCTTTTGTGTCTCTGATTGTGTTTATTTGTGCTTTTTCTCTCTTTTTCTTGGTCAGTCTAGCTAGGGGACCATCGATCTTGTTTATCCTTTCGAAGAACCAGCTTTTTGTTTCATTGATTTTTTGTATTATCTATTTGTCTTCTATGTCCTGGATTTGGGCTTTTATTCTGGTGATCTGGATTCATCTGCTGAAATTAGGGTTTTGGTGGTCTTGCTTTTCCAGCTTTCTTATATGGCTTGTTAGGCTATTAATTTGTGATCCTTCCATTTACTTCATGTGTGTTTGTAGGGATATAAATTCCCCTCTTACTACAACTTTCATGGTGTCCCAGAGATTTTGGTAAGATGTTTCTTCATTTTCATTTATTTCCAGATACCTTTTGATCTCTGTTTTGATTTCATCATTGACCCAGGAGTTGTTTAGCATCATGCTGTTTAGTGTACATGTCTTTGTGGGTTTTAGGGGGACCTTGTTAGTGTTGATGTTTATTTTTATTCCACTGTGGTCTGAGAAAGTATATGGTAAAATTTTGGTCCTTCTAAATTTGCTTATACTTGATTTATGGCCAAGTATGTAGTCGATCTTAGAGTATGTTCCATGCAGTGATGAGTAGAATGTATATTCTGGGGTCTTTGGATGGAGTGTTCTGTAGTTATCAATTAAGTCTATTTGGTCAAGAGTAACATTGAGGTTTGGGATCTTGTTGCTGGTATTTTGTCTTGATGATTTGTCTAGGGTTGTAGGTGGGGTATTGAAGTCCCTAGCTATGATGGTGTTGGAGTCGATATCTTTTTTTAGTTTACCTAGAAGCTGCTTTATGAAAGTTGGTGCTCTATGTTGGTTGCATATATGTTTAGGATGGATATTTCTTGTTGATGGATTGAAACTTTTATCCTTATGTAGTGGCCTTCTGTATCTTTTTTGATTTTTGATAGCTTAAAGGGTATTTTGTCCAAGATTAAGATCATGACTCCTCCTTTCTTTTGTGTTCCGTTTGCTTGAAAATTTGTTTCTCATCCTCTCACTTTGAGTCTGTGAGTGTCCTTTCTAGTTAGGTGAGTCTCTTGAAGGCAATAAATAGTTGCCTGGTGATATTATATTCATTTTGCCATTCTATGTCTTTTCAGTGGTACATTTAGTCCGCTCACATTCAAGCTAATTATTGAAATGTGAGAGTTGATCCCTATCATAATTTTCTTACAGAGTTATTGTTATTCTTCCTGTTTGTGTGTTGTCTTTCTTTTGGTTCTAGAGTTGGTTCATGTGTGTTTTTAATCTTTTGCCTGTACTCTTGTGAAGAATGTTGTTGTTCTTTTTTCCTTTTCTTCTGTGTTCAATACTTTCTTAAGTGTTTCTTGTAGAGGTGGTCTGGTGGCAGCATAGGAATTGGATATCTGGGAAAGGTTTCAATTCTCCCTCACTGATGAAGCTTAGCTTGGCTGGGTAGGTTATTCATGGTTGAAATTGTTTAGCTTTTAGAACTTTGAAGATAGTGCTCCAAGCTCTTCTAACCTGGAGGGTGCCTGTAGATAAATCTGCTGGTATTCTAATTGGTCTTCCCTGGTAGGTAGTCTGGCCTTTTTCTCTTGCTTCCTTTAGGATTTTTTCTTTTTTACCTACTTTGTTTAGGTGAATTATTATATGTCCGGGAGTTGGTCTTCTCATTTGTTGTCTTGCAGGAGTTCTCTGAATCTCTTGTGTTTGAACTTTTGCATCACTGATGAGATGAGGGAAGTTTTCTTGAATTATTTCATGAAGTGTTTGTTCCAGTGTGACCTCTGTTTCTCTCTCTGCCTCAGGAAGACCAATTACTCTTAGGTTTGGTCTCTTGAAGTAATCATTCAGATCTTGGAGGTTTTGTTCTGGGTTTTTTTGAGCTTCTTTTCTATGTTTTTGACAGTTTGGGTTAGTTCTGTGTTTTGGTCTTCGAGCTCTGAGATTCTTTCTTCTGCTTGGCTAATTCTGTTTTCCATGCTTATTAGTTTGTTATTTATTTCCATCACAGTATTCTTTTCTGCTGTTATTTCTGACATCAGCTCCTTCCTATTTTCCTCTTGTCTCTTCTCAATTTTTTAAATTCTCTCCATTAATGTCTTGATGTCTGGGTTTGTTGCATGTGACCAGTCATTCTGGGACCTCTCATTGTTTGTGTTCCGAAGTCTGTTTTCTCAGTGTCTGACCTCTCAGGGGTCTGTGTGAGTCCTATATTCTTCTTTTGATTTTTCTTCATTTGTGCAGTTTTTTTCCTCCCTACTTTTTCCTTCCCTCCACGTCACCATCTTCTTTAATTCTGTTATTCAGGGTAGAGTGGTTGCTTTTACTTCTGTTTGTTCAATCTTGTATTCTTCTTTATGTATGTCTTCTTACTTTGTTCAATTCTGGGGTTGCACTGTAGGTTGGGGATGGTCCTTTTTGCAGTTTTGAGATTTACTTAAGGGGGAGCTGTGATTCAAAATCCATCTGCAGGTCCTGGTATCCACTAACAGGTATATGGATAATCTCAAACCCACTTCCCATTGCCTTGGAATCTGTCCGTGCAGTGGGCTTGTAGGCTTACTCCCTGAATTAAAATGAGGTTAACAGAGGGAGGAGAATGAAGCAGACAGTGGGGGAAAGAGGGGGGTGAAGAGAGAGAGGAGTAAGGGGGAAAACAGACGAGTGGACCGACAAATGGAGAGAGAGACAAAAATGGAAACATATAGAAACAATAGACCCCGGGTACCAACTAAGCAACTCCCATACAAAAAAAAAACTGAAACATACAATGATGCTAACATATAAGCTTACCAACCTCCTTATTGTTGTGCTATTCCTCTATACAAAGATATGGTTTACAGAAAGAAGAAAAGAAAAGAGGAGAAAAGAAAGGGAGAAAAAAAGAAAAGAAAAGGAAAATGGGGAGCAAAACTGAAGGAATAGAATCAAGTCAGTAGACTAACAGAATCAATCAAGCACACTCTGAGGCTTTTCTTTTAAGTCAAATGTCCTTTCAGCTCTGCTTTCTAGCTGTCTTTTCAGGTTCATAAGTTTGTTCACAGTTAGGGTCAGTTGCCCCTGGCCTGCTGTGAAGGGCAATTCAGATCACCACTCAGTTCACCACCGCCGAGTTCACCACTCAGATCTGGCCTGTGTCTGTCAAGCTTCCATTTTTTCCCCTTTTGGTGTTGTTACCTTGAATCGCCAGCAGGTGGTGCTATCTCACCTCTCCAGATGGTCTTTATCTCAGTTGCTCGCCCCTGCAGGGAGGGAGCCGTTGCCTCAATCAAGGCACATGAGAGGAGACCCGCGGCCTGGCAGGACATCACGATGGCAGTAGTGGCAGCAGTGACTTCAGCAGATCTTGCTTGCAGGGGTTTCAAGGTCTGAAGTCGTGGATCACCTGAGGCACAGGCGGTGCGATGTGTAATGGCTGCCTCGGTGGTGGCAGCATCAGCTCACCTCAGGCACTAGCGGTGCGATGTGGAATGGCTGCCGCAGTGGCAACTGCAGCAGCAGCAGCGGCAGCTGCAGTAGCTGCCCAGATCACAGTGATGCCTCAGCGAGGTCTACAGCTGAGCTCCGTGTGAAGAGCAGGCTGCCAACAATGGGATCTCCAGTCTCCGGGGAGAGAACCAGAGTCTCTTTGTGTTCTCCTCTGTGGAGGGTCCCACAGACCAACCTGCCCCGTCGCCATCTTGCCGGAAGTCCCCTATTTTTTTTAAAATTGGAGTCTCACTCTGTCGCCCAGGCTGGAGTGCAGTGGCACACTCATGGCCACCCCAGCATTGACCTGCTGGGCTCCGGTGATCCTTCCACCTCAGCCTTCCAAGTAGCCAGAACTACAGGCGCATGCTACCATGTCCAGCTAATTTTTGATCTTTATTGTAGAGACGAGGTCTTGCCAAGTTGCCCGGGCTGGTCTCAAACCCACATGCTCAGGCAATCCACTTGCCTCGGTCTCCCAAAGTGCTGGGATTACAGGTTGAGCCACTGAGCCTGACACAATCTCCTATTAAATATCAAAAAAGTTCATTATTTATTTGTATAGTTAACATAACTTCTTTTATTAGTGTACATACTGCACCTCTGATAACTATTTGTTTCCATACAAGTAAGCTACCTTGAGGAATAAATCACTTGTCATTTATCTCTGCATCCCCCAAGACTTCTGTGTCTATAGAAATAATGCAGATAGGTGATTATTTTTATTTTTTCCAGAGATCCTCATTTAAGTGAACCCTCATTCAACCAGCTCCTGCCTCTCTTCACAAGATTCAGTGCTGCAACATGTTCTCACTCATAAGTGGACCTTGAACAATTATTGCAATACTATTAGAAAAGGACTGGCAATAACGAGAAACTGTGGGAGGAGGGTGGGAAAGCGGGATTGGCAGTAGTAGGAATCTGCCTGGGGAAGGGGGAGCACACCTCATCAACAAGGGTGCCTGCATAATGAACATTTGTATACCTAACCCTGACTTGTACCCCACATCTTTAAAATAAAAAAAATTAAGTTTAAAAAAATCTTAGAAAAAGCAAAAAAAAAAAAAAAGATTCAGTGCTCCTCCTCTGGATAGCCTTCACTGATCATCACTTATCTAAAGTGATCATAACCTGGTTTTTTCTAAAGAGTTACACGGGCTATACACTCTTGGGGAATTTATTTTATACCAAAATAATTCTGAAGAGATATGATTTAAATTGGCTTTAAAAAATTAATTAGTTAACAATTTGAAGTAAATGTTTTAATATACAGTAAGCTTCTTAATCATAAAGGGAGAACTTTGCTTAAAAATGAAAAAAGATATCACTCCAAAAACATCGATATGTTTTAGAATATTAAAAATGTAAGCTGAATAATGATGAAATGTTTAAAAATCATAATAAAAATGAAAAGGCGAATAATAGATGAGAAGAAATCACTCACAGTAGATATAGTAGAAACAGGAAATCACAGTAGATATAATAGAACCAGATCACGACTAATTTCCACGGAATTCCAGCCAACCAAGTTGGAGGACAAAAGTAGATAGAGTTACCTGTTCCTTGTAGTCATTGGGGTGGAATTAAGAGTGGGGTTGAAGAAAAGGATGAAACACAGAGAGTATAAAATTTAAAAAAAAATTTTAAATAACTCTAAAAGTAGGTACCAATTATCTTTCCCACTAGCAGATATATTGATGTTTTCATTTGTAATCTAATTCTAACTCTAATAGAAGATATACATATAACCCCACATTCCCACATATTTGAGTCACTCAGAAACAATCTCAACTTTTCTTTTATTAAAACAGTATGTGCACTTCTTCACTTTTAAAGCCCTTTTGTAGTTTCCTTGACAGGCCTTTTGTCAAAATGTACTTACATTGTTAACTTTGAAGATAATTTATTCAAAATGTGAATTACTTTGTGGCCACTACAAAACTGTATAAAAGCTGTGAATGTGTCTCTGCCAGCCAGGAGGATAATTTAACAGTATTCTTACATGTTTATTTCTGTCTTTGGTTGGTTCCTCTTTCACTTCCCCCTTCTCTGACCTCTTTCCCCTGCATATCCCTTTTCATAGGCAGTAAAATATCTTCACAAAGGTTTTATGTGAATGCAAGTATAAAGAAGTGTATCATACATGCCAAATAACTATCGAGATTTCAAATTATGAGGAAATTTCTCCTCCAAAATTTATGACAGCAGGAATATGAAAATTTGCTCTATAAAAGTAACACTAAATAATTTCAATTAAAGTATTCTGCGTGTATGTTTGAAAAAATTAATGAGTATATCCTTATTCCTAAACATTTCCTCACATAGGACCCAGAGTGAAAGACCACCTTGTCTGTCTGTCTTGATTTCATTTTCCTACATGCCCAAAATATCCATTCACTTTTGTCCTTACTCAGCAACCTGTAGTCTCATAATTTCAAAATCTCTACCACCCTATCTCATCCAAAAAACTCTCTTCTACTAGAGTTCTGAGAAAGCAGTGTCCACTGGTTATTTGTCAAAAGTCCACTGTTCCCGAGCTTTACATGAGTATAATCAATGCAATTTCTGGAAGTTCCCTTTTGCCCTTATTTTTATTTTAAAAAATAAACGCAACTTTAAGCCTTCAAATGCCTTAGATGTACAGGGGAAAGGGTGCTGTCTTTCCTCAGCCAATCAAGTCAGGGGTTATAAGCCTGAAGCCAATGGATGCAGACCAGGGGCGGAGCTTGAGCAAGAAACAGCCCGTGGGGCTGCCGTTGGTCTGGACAGTTCTGGGTCGGCAAAGTACCTGGCCTCCGTTTCTCCCTTTACATATCGCAGGTTACGCCTCCTGAGACTCTGGATGGTGAGCGTTCCTCTAGCTTCCCCTTTGGGAAATTGACCTTTCCCACGGGTACTTTCTCTCTTATCCTTCACTCCCAGCGGGGGGGAAAAATGCTCCCACAGTATTCCAGTTAGAGATTCAGTCATTCCCTCTTAGAGTTTCCACCTTTCTTGGACAGTCAAGGACTTCCCCAAAGATCAACTGGCCTCTAGGTTTGTGTTTCCGCCTCTTAGTCCCTGCCCCCTCTTCCCGTTATGCTTTGATATTAACTCTTTGCGAACCTAGTCACCTGCGTGTTTTCTTTTTGTGTTACTGAGGCACTGGGAAGTCAAGCCCCAAAGGAAAGCACACTGATGCAGTGAATCTCCCCAGCTGTGTGGAGCTGAGCCTTAGCAGGAGGAAGGGCCCATTCTGAGTGAAGAGTCTTTAGGAGGGCAATAGACCACGCACCTGCCATTAGTGAGTGGAATGGCTGCGGTTGCCTTGTGTGGTAGGGCAGTTTACCAAAGAGACTGTCCTACACATTGGTTTATGTGTAATAAAGCACTCAAGCATGAGCTTTGTAGCTGTGAAAATTACTGGGATCACAGGGTGCTCTCTTCAGGATACCTAATTTCTGCAAAGTGTAGCAATTAAAAGTAAGGAAGACTGTTCCTATTTTTAGGAACAGGGTGAATTAGTGTGATTTCCACTCCGTGAAACAGAAAATTTCACAACACTGACTGATTGATTGTTGAGGAAATACATGCTATTTTTGAGAGAACCGTTATGAATTACCTCCACACACAAAGTGAATTGAGATATTAGCTAATTTATCGATAAATTGATGCTGAGAACCCATGTGGTAAACCAATATTTTTTCCTTAATGAGACTTGGATTCATAAATATATTCAAAGCTGTTAAAAGAGGAAGGAGAATTTCAATTGCATTGAAAACTTGTTTATTTTCACTGCTACTTCTTTACTTACACCTTTAGCAAATTAAACTAGAGTAATATTAACATTTATAAGCTAAAATAAAAGGAGATCTATTATCAGGTAAAGATTCAGTAGAAGATTTTGGAGTAGAAGTTGGTGATACCAAACAGTATCTACCGTATGTGCACAACCAGAGAGAGAAATTGTGTTGAACTTGATCATGTATCTCTGAATTTCAAGGATAAATAGGACTTGAGGTAATTTTATTTTCTGAAAGGAATTTATTGGGATTGAATGTGTAGATACTTATTAAATTTTCCAAATAAACAATTTCAGAAATTAGAAAAATGATTATGGGAACATGTCTCTCTACTTATAGTTTGGAAAACAATAGACTTCTAAGCTATTACATTCTAAAAGCATGTTAAAATGTGTAATTATGGTACAGAAAGTAGTTTTTCTTATTTGGTCAAACCTTGATGCTCCAGGATGCTTACTCTTGGAGTAATAGTGGGAAAGTTAAGAAGCAACATTGACCATATTTCCTGAATAATTTGATGTTAACTAAGAGCAAATATCACCAATCAAAATATTCTTCCTGAATGGCAGGGACTTCTAGAGCAGTGTTTCTAATTCCTGGCTGCCTATTAGTATCATTGAGAAGCTTTTAAAGTTCCCAATCCCCAGGCTTCACCCTAGACCACCTAAATTAACCTTGGAGAGTGGCACCCAGGCATCAGTATTTAAAAACTCTCCAAGTGATTCCATGTGTAATCATCAGCATCATCATCATCATCATCATCATCATAAATGCAAGGAAAGCAATTCCACAGACTAGGAAATAATATAGATTTGAAAATTGAGACCAATGGAGTTGAAGTAAGTTGCCCAGAGTCATCCAACCTATAAGCAGAAGGCCATCAAACCTCCACATGCAGGAAGCCTAACCACAGAGTCTGTACTTGTACCGTGGTGCTAGAATGATACAACCTTTGTAAATGATGTCTATAAGACTTTTTGATGTTTGTGATACAACAAATGGAAAAATAACATAAGGTATAATTAAAGGATGAACTTTACTATGTAAATAAAATATATAAGAGCCCATTAACAGATGATATGATTTTGGTGATATTTTTTCTGCTTTTGAAAAGTATGTTTACATATTTATTACAAGAAGTGTTTACAGTAAGCATGTATTCATTTATTTTCTCTTTAAAATAGTGTTTTTATAATCAGAAAAGAAAATTATAAGAAAACATACATATATGTCAAAAATGAAAAAAAAATAGAAAAAAATAAATTGCCAGATTAGGAGAGGAATCGTTAATTGCTGAGCCAGGCAGTCATATGAGATGCTGACAGCAGGCACTAGAAAATGTTAAGCTACTATTATGAGAGATAGAATTATAAGAATTCCCCATGCGAAGTTTAAGACCTCTAATGTAAAACTTTCCTTTCCACAGGAAGCAGGTGGGATCACCTTACTGTGGCTATTACCTATCGCTTCAAATTCTTCTCAAGACTCTTGTTACTCTTCCAAGAAGTAACAAGGAGATAGAACATGTAACTATCTCCCTGTCCTTTTGGTTTTAATTTTTTTTTTTTTACATTCTTGGTTGCTGTACAAATATGTAAAAGTTAGAGAACATCTGCCCTATCAGTGTCCCAAATGACATAAAAGAAAGGTGTGATTGGCTATTCTCATGATCTCTTAATTTCTGTCTGGACAAAACAAGAGATCTAAGAATTCTTCCCTGCTGATAAACCCCTCTGTTGTCCATCCCTCATGCTAAGTAATCTGCACCAGTTTGTGGTCCCAGTGACCACATTAGTAAATGTGAATGGTTAGATGAAAAATCCTTATTTCAGACAGCTGGATAGATGCATGGTGGATAATAACTGAGTAGTGCTTGACATTTAAATGAGTACCAGATGACACTGGCTAGTCTCTACCATTTGGGGTTCTGCCTTTTTTATTTCATTTAAATTGAAAGCATCATAAAAGGAAGAATCATCTCCAATGGCAAGCCATAAGATATCACCAGAAATAATTAAAGGAGAATATGGGATATTTTTCTTTTTTATAAAATTAGTAAAAGGTCATCAAGAAGGCAATTTTTATGTTCCTTTAATCCTATCTGTGTTTTACAGAGAGACATACAGTTGGATTCAGATGAACTGTGAAAAACAATAAGATGAACAATTATAGTGTTTCTCCTAAAATCACCTTTCGTAACAGATTTTCTAACTCATGGCTGGAATTTTTCAACCTTTGGTCTTCGCATACACCTGAATACCTCCCTGAAATTTTTCTAACCTTGTCTTTGATTTGCATCATTGGAGGTAAGCATCACTCTTTATATATGAGTTTTTTCTCTGGGGATATATTATAAATGCTACCATGTAGACTTAAGAAAAGCAGCAATAATAGGAAACAAGAATTTTGTTCCTAAATTTATACCTTTATCCCAATATTTTCAATCAAATGAATCAAAAAATAATCTGCCCCTATGAAGAGACATGTAAAAATCTCAATTCCATAGTCTTCACTACTATTGGGTTCAAAGTATTTACACTTTTTTTTGAGCTGGGTTCTCACTCTGTCACCCAGGCTAGAGTGCAGTGGCATGATCACAATGATCATGGCTCTTGGCACCTTCCACCAACTGGGCTCAGGCAGTTCTTCTAACTAAGTGTCCCAAGTATCTGGGACTACAGAAGCATGCCACAACACTTGGCTGATTTTTAAATTTTTTTGTAGAGACAAGGTTTCGCTATGTTGCTCAGGTTGATCTCAAACTCCTGGGCTCAAGCAATCTTTTCTCCTTAGCCTCTAAAGTGTTGGGATTATAAGTGTGAACCACCACACCCTGCCCAAAGTGTTTAAACTTTCTTACTTCCTAGCTTGGGGTTAGATTTAAGTGATGGAGATAACTGAAGCAAATAAGTAGAAAATCAAGGGTTGGAGTAGGATATTCTATGGGGTTTGTCCAAATTATAAATTCTGCCTACTCTTTAAGAAGGAAAGAACACTGGAAATCAAAAGAAATCTTTTTTTTTTTCTTTTTGCACTTTCTTTAGTTTGATTAGGTATCATATTACACAGATGTGGGGAAAAAACAAATAGAAGGAAATGCTATGATATTACTTATTGCACTTTGATGACAATTATAAAGTTAAGCAAAGTTAAATATTATGTTTAATAGGTAGCTAGTAATAGGTAACTGATTTTCTTATTGAGCAAATTATCTCTTGTTCCTCAACCAGAAGTTTTCATTAAAGGTTATTTATTAACCTTTTATTGCAGGATTGTTAAAAAACAAATTTCTGATTCACAGGGCATACAAAAAGTTAAAATTTCAAAAATTGCTAAAGATTTTAAGGAAATGAGAATGAGATACATCATTACATACATCATAAAGCAGGAGCCCACCGGATTATCAGTTATGCTAATTCTATGTGCTGACGTGAGAGAGAGTTTCAGTTACAGGAAAATAGAAAATGAGTAGTGAAACAGTATTTTATTGTTCTCAATATTGAGACATCATATCACGTTAAAGTTCTATGAATGTGATATTTTCCTGCCTTTCAATAATGACATATTTTTTGCAGCATTTTTGAACCTGCACTTGAAAAACTTTCCAATTCCTATCCCTGTGATATTATTTTTGCTTGGATGCAGTACTGAAATACTAAGTTTTACATCTAATCAGGTGTGTACAGTAAATGGGTATCTTGTACTATATATCTAAGAATCATATGAATGCAAAGATGGCTTTTCAAAATTTTCAAAAACATTCATCCCCCCACTGTTATGCAGGGATAGATGCTTGTGATGTGAATAGCATCAGATCAGATGTGAAGAAAAAGGAACCAGGCCTGAGAAAGCTGAGATCCAGCTAGAGTCAAAACAGAGCCTAGGTCTAAAAACTAAACTAGGCAATTCAGAATGATTACACATAGAGCTACTGATAGTGTGAGTGGCCAGTGATTGTTGAAAACAACTCAAAAGCTTGGATAAGAAATTGGCTAATGAGATGGGAGCTCAGCGAGACTTTGTGCTGTTGATAGAGGACACTAGTAGAAAGAGAAATCTTATGTTGAACCAATCTACAGCCCCAGTTAATAATATTCTATAGGATTTCCATTAGAATAGACGCTAGTCTCTAAGGGTACTGCTTTGGCTCAGGGGTTATAATTTGCTGATGCCTGCTCCAGACAATCAGAATGGATATGAGAACTTGTCTGAAGATGATTGACTTTTCCAAACAAATTTAGCTAGTGATGTTAAAAATATTATAAAAAACATGTATTCATGTAAGAGCCAGAACCAGATTACTACTTCACTTGTCACAAGTGGGTTTTATAATCATATGATTTTGACATAAATACAATTTGGTGTACTTCTATAAACATTACTATTTGTTAATAACTCCTTCAGAGAAGGAAACCATGTGTCAAGGACTGTGAAGGGATCAAGATTTTATTCTACTTTCAAACTAATAAGCTAGCCTGCCACAGTTTCATGGTCCTGGCAAAAGATGTGGGACTCTTGCCAGTGACAAAAATTGTTATTATTCACAGCAGTAGTAGGAACCTGAGTATGAGCATTTTCTCGTTCCTGTTCTCTGAAGCCCAATCCCAAAGGAAGAAGCAAAGACGGCTAGGTGAAATCTGTATGTAGAGTGGATTGCATTACCAGAGAAGAAGTCTGAGCTTGGAGAACCTGAATCACTTATAATGAGTAGTAAGCCCATCTGCTCTCTTACCCCCCCCCCAGGGACATTTTCTTTATTACACTGAATAGTAAAGTAAATGTGCCCTTTGCGCTGGAGGAAGACAATTACTCTACCTTCCAAGGCTGTTAGTCATACAAGCATTCATGAAAAGATAGTCTGGAGGACAAGTAATCAGTGCCTCCACTCATACGACAGAGGGAAACACAAGAGACCCATGGAGAATTATCTCCCAAGTGCAAAGATGTCACCTGCCACAGCAGATACTCAGTGCTTCTTTAATAAATGATTGTTGAATGGAAGCCCACAATAGGATTTACAAACTTCAACTAAATATCTTATGATAAACATTGTTAGTTATTTATTGCATTAATTGCATTAAAGTTCCAGTCGCTATCCCTTTTATTATTCCATACACATCTCTATATAAGCCATGACCAATTATTTGTTTCTAGAATTTGATAATGATAATTTACTCCTTTGTGGATTTTATGCATGATAATCCATCTACTTGAAATCTGTTTCTTTCATTTTGTATGCCTGAAAATCTGCTACATATTCTTTAGTACCTATGTCAATGTACTTTCTATACCTGGCATTTTAAAAAATAAAATAAAATGAGCATAGGGTTATGAATTAACTTTCCTGTGTAATTGGTAATAATTTGAAGGAAAATAAAAAAATCCAGCAGAGTTAACATGCTAGCACTTATTAAATCATGATTTATTTTTTTCTTTTTTTTTGAGTTGGAGTCTCATTCTGTCGCCTAGGCTGAACTGCAGTGGCATGGTCACGGCCACCCCAGCGTCGACCTGCTGGGCTCGGGTGATCCTTCCACTTCAGCCTTCCAAGTAGCCGGAATTACAGGCACGCACTACCATGCTGGGCTAGTTTTTTATTTATTGTAGAGACGAGGTCTTGCCAAGTTGCCTGGGCTGGTCTCGAACTCATGGGCTCAGGCAATCCACTAGCCTTGGGCTCCCAAAGTGCTGGGATTACAGGCTGAGCCTGGCCATATCTTTTTGAAATTGTCTTTCTTGGGTGCTAGAGGTAAGAGTGCCTGGCATGTGTTCTATTCTAACAAAAGGATGAATAAATAAGAAAATGACATATTTTTATATTATTAGGTTCAAACATATGTAGATCCTATACAATCGATGAGTCCAGACTTATTTTTTGGTCTATTTATACCTGTGATTTTCTTTAATGCTGCGTTTGACATGGATGTATACATGCTTCAAAAGTTATTTTGGCAGGTAAGTATTCTTTTTCAGTAATATAATTTACTTATGAACCATATGTTATCTTTGTCTAGATTTTTAAAAACTTTGCTCCAAAATAAATAAGACACAAAATATAGGATATGAGAGTAATGAATTCAGCTTTATATTTTAGTGAATAAACCATATCTTGGCAATTGTCTACATATTGAAGACCCAATGGGAGAAACTGTGAAAGAAAAAATAATTCTGAAAAACTGACTGATAGACCTTATGCCTGTTATAATTTTAACTCTGAAACACTATAAGAGAGCTACTACTATGAAGTATATTATACGATGAAGTATATTATTTTCTTTTACTCCAGCAAAAGGAAATTGTTGAGCTATGTTATATTTTATATACTCACATTCTAAAGCTTCCTGTATTCATATGTGAAAGAACAAAAGCAGGGAAGAAAACTCAGAATCATCTATAACCCTAATTTATAAGCTACAGTGATTTTTTTTTTTTTTGAGACATACTTTAGCTCTATCCCCCAGGCTGGAGTGCAAACATAGCTCACTGCAGGCTCAAACTCCTGGGTTTAAGCGATCCTTCTGCCTCAGTCTCCCAAGTAGCTATGACCATAGCCATGTGCCTCCAAACCCAGCTAATTAAAAAAAATTTTTTTTTTTTTTTGTAAAGACAAAGTCTTGCCATTTTGCCCAGGCTGGTCAAGAACTCTTGGCCTCAAATGATCCTCCTGCCTCAGACTCCCAAACTGCTGGGATTACAGGCATGAGCCACCATGCCTGGCCCATGATCTTCCTTAATCATGTGAGATTTGGATTGTATCAGGAAAACAACTTGAGAAAAAATACTGCAAATCATATGTAGGGTGTACATTTCTTTCAAAGTAATCAAAACTGTTTTGAAAATATAAGGCCACTACCTAAACTGCACTAGATGCAAAACTGTTAGAATAATTTACACTTTAAATCAAATCCAGACACAGTTCTGACAAATGATAAAAAGATGAAATCAAAACGAACAGAGATACACATGTGGTTTGAGTTGTTCTAGCTGGTCTCTGTCCAGCATCCCCTGCATCTCTGGACAAATGGGGGAGGGGTCAGCTGGAGCAGGATGAGCCAGATGGCCTCTCCTGTGTCTGTTGGTGGATGCTGTGGGTGTGGAATAATTCTACATCTCCAATAATCCTGATTATCTGCTTTTTAAAATGGACTGCAAAAGCAATCTGATATCTTTTCTATTTGTAAAACTTCTTTGCAGATACTTGTCATTATAATTCCTGGTCTTTTGATTAATTATATCTTGATTTTTTGGTATCTGGCTTCTGTGGACAAAATAGTTTTGAAGCACACTCCATGGTTATTGTTTTCAACTCTCCTTGTGTGTACCGATCCCATGCTGACTGCAGCTGCTTTAAGACACCTTGGTAGGTATACTGTTTTCTTTTCCTATATTTCAAGTATCATAGTTTGTAATGAACTTGTCTCAGTTTGAAGATAATTTGTTGAGGATAGCTTTTCACTGTGAGAAGTGAGGTAGTGAGGAATTAGTGATTAAGAATTGAATAGAGATTCTGGAGGTAATGCTTACTACAGATGGAAATAACAATGATGGGATTCCTTAGCCTCCAAAAAAACCCAAAAACATTATATCTAATTGTGGAACAGGGCAGGGATTTAGTTAGAACCTTTGACTTTATACATGCTTCTACATTGAACCAACAGAATGGTTCTGGAGCATTATAACATTGTATAACCTTGTGGAGACATTTCTGTTGCCCATTATTTCTTTTCCTTTGAAAACAGTCATTAGGCTAGTCCTACTTTTAAAATATTTTGCCTTTGGAGTCATTGTTACTATAAGACTGAAAGCCTAAAATGTAAAAAATGATAAAATCACCAGTTATATAGTGTTGTGATCATATACAATTTTAGGAAAAATGAATGCATATTTAAAAGTAAGATATTAAGTCAACTCAGAAAAGCAAAAAGCAACTACAGTAACAACAAAACAAAACAAGAGCCTCATGCAGAAAAACAATAACTTAATTTTTCATCTCAGTCACTTTTTAATTTAAAAAATAGAAAAATTGCTTTAAAATAGAATAACATGATATGCACACACACACAAACACACTTTTGTCAATTTCATTTTCACTTTATGGCCAGTTAAAGGGATAAGAGTTATCTGAGGCAAGTAGAACTAGAGTAGGGAGACACATTAAATGTAAATATGTGAATAAAGGAAGCCAAGTCTTCAAAACAAGGAGGTTAATAGAGTGAGGTGAGACTTTAGAAGTAAGTGCCAACATCCATCACTCAACTCTGGATTTTTGTCTTCCTCCCTACACTCTCATCCCACATCCCTGCCTTGATATGACTGTCATTGCCAGCATTTTTCTCCTCAGAAGATCGGAGAGCCTCTTATAATACTTGCGAGTAGATTTCACTCTTCTCCTGACTTTACTATCACATAATCTAGTATCCCACTGATTTTTCTAGCCTGCCATTGGTGAACTATCATCTATTTGGAGTATTGTGTAAGGTTATTCTCATAAATTTGGGTCATCTTGCCATCAGTTTTGGAATTTTGTTTTTCTCCTCATTTTATATCTTTAAAAATATATATTTTTAAGTATATTCCTCTTGGAAGCATTTTTCCTGAGTTTACAGTGCAAGATTTATGAATATGCACATTTATAAATTTATATTATATATACATATTTCCTCAAGAAAATTTTCCCAGGGATGTCAGTAGAATGCATGAGTACATTCACATTGTCTTGAGCTTTTTATGGTCTTTGATTCTTCTTATGCACCCATATCTGTTATTTATTTCTGAATATTCACATTTTGTGATAGTTCTATTTTCTAAAATGGCATAACTATACAATATCATTTAGGTTTTGCCGAGTACTGAAAACTCCAAATGAAATGGCTTAAAATGACAATTATTTATTATTTCTCATGTGGTCAACAGTTCTGATGATATGGGCTGGGTTCTGTTGGTCTTACCTGGTTCACTAATGAATCTGTAGTTAGCTACCAGATCATCTGAGTAGCCTGAATAGCCATCAGGATAACCATAACTGGGAAGATTCACCTTTCCTTCCCGAATCTCTCACATTGCTCCAGTGAGGGGATACTGCCACATGGTGGCAGGGTTCTAAGAAAAAGGAGGCCAAAAGCTTTTTGCTCTCATCAAGTCTCATAATCAGACTTGATCTTTTTGATGAGAAACACTGCAGAATCTTACAGCCAAGGTCATGATTACAAGGAGGGGTGAACAATAGAACAATTGAGGCAATTGAGCCACATGGGAACAGGCTGCCTGGGTGTTTCTTCTCTTCTATTAGCATACTGATTGTAGTTAGGTTGTAATTGCCGTGACAGAGTCATTGGTTTACAGAAAGGGTGTTTGCTATACTACATTTCCCTCCTATGGCTTTCAGAAAAGCACTGAAGATGCTCAAAGTTGAAGTTTTGTCACTATAACCACATTTAATGGCAGAGGAGATGGACAACTGATAGATATCGAAACCTAGAATACCATCACAAAGAAAAATTAGGATGGAAGTAGGGAATATCAGAGGGCTATACATTCATGGAGCTTGATTTCTAAAACCTTTGAGAATAATGTATGGGAAAGTCAGGTAATTGCTATTTGTAGCTAGACTATCTGAAAAGTTGCCTTAATACTTTACTTAGGTTACATGTTATAAAGGTTTGATTTATGAATTTACTTGATCTCTCTCATGGTTTTCTGTCTTGCCTTAAATATATGACTTATGATGTATGTATTTATATAGAACAACTCAGTGAGTTTTAAAAAATAATAAATTTCATGTTTTCATCTGCACTTTGAAATAAGGAATGAGAGCTCTAATTGGTTATCTTACTTATGTAAACATAATGAACCACCACTAATTCTGTGCCTAATTATAATGGTCTAGACTTAACTTACAGTTTATATACAATTACATTTCCTTTAAGGGAGTTTGAAAACATGAGTAAAGTTTATGTAGGGGAAATTATGTAATATCCAAAGCTAACAATATTCTTCTGCTTGTGAATAATATTTTATTTTCTTATATTTAATATTTAGTGTTTTTCTCACTTAAAACAAATCTTTTCCCTCTAAACATATACAGGTCTTTCTAGAAGTCTCACCACTTTAATTAATGGAGAAAGTCTGTTTACCTCTGTTATATCATTAATTATATTTAGTAGTATAGTGGATCGTACCTTAGCAAGTCAAAGTGAGACGCCCCATACCTTAGGTAAGGAGCTATTTTTTTCTTAATTTCCTAAAGTCAGAATCCTATATTTTCTGAAAGCTCACATGAATTGTGTAATATCTTATCATAAGTTATGCTTGTAGAAATAAAATAGTAGGCCAGGTTCGGTGGCTCAGTCTGTAATCCCAGCGCTTTGGGAGGCTGAGGAGAGTGGATTGCCTGAGCCTGCGGGTTCAAGATCAGCCCAGGCAACTTTGAGAGACCTCATCTCTACAACAAATCAAAAATTAGCTGGTCATGATAGCACGCACCTGTAGTTCTGGCTACTAGGAAGGCTGGAAGGATCGCCGGAGCCCAGCAAGTCGAAGCTGGAGTGGCTATGAGTGTGCTACGGTACTACAGCCTGGGCAACAGAGTGAGACTCCAATTCAAAAAACAAAACAGTAAGTGTTGGGATAATGACTTACCCTTTACAAAGCACTGTTCCACTTTCCTTATTTATTGTTAGTCGTGGTTTTGTTGTGAGGCTGGGTTGAGATTCTTCATGAAGATGCTTATGAGAGCAGCATTCCACTGGCCTGGGCTCAACTAGAATGCTAGCAACCAGAATGCCATCGATTTTCATGTGCTGAAGATGGGTTTAGAAAATAAGCCAGACAGTGTACTCGGTCTAGTGAGAGGAGGCAACTTCTCTCCCATTTGCCCTGGTACTATGTCTCATGCAGTCCACATGGACAGCTGTCAACTGAGGCAGGAAGTGTGAGCTATATGGCCATCAACAGGACCAGAGAGCAGTGCTTGTAAGCAGAGGGGTTGCGAGATTCTCATGACTTCTTCCATTTACCATTTTATTCCTGAACTGTATTTATCCCTGAACTGTAAGTACTTTTTTTCATTATCATATGTATGTGTGTATAAAATAAATGACATATGTGTATTACAATAATGATTATAAAGTATATAGTCGTGTAATTATTATTCATGACAAGAAATTTAGTGTTATCAACACTTCCAGAAGCTCTTATGTGCCCCTCCCTGGTCAAAGTCCTGTATCTTCCTCCTAAGAAAGTGGTTCTCAATGTGTAGTCTCTGAATCCCTGAGTAGTGGTGGAAGGAGACCCATAGGACCCTTTTAAGGTGTCCATGAAATCAAAATATTTTCATAATATTTCTAAGAATTTATTTACCTTTTTCACTGTGATGTTTTTGCACTGTTTAGAGAGAAGCAATGGTTGCAGTCTTCTTGGGATATTGAAGACATACTTTTCCATGCACTGAATGTCTTCTTTGTTCTAAGGCCCTCTGCAGCATTGTCTCATTCTACCACCACCTCTATTCCCTTGGGAAATTTAGGAGGTACTTCTGTCAGATCTGTCAATCAAATAATCTATTGTATCACAGTGGGTTTCTTCTACTATTCCTTTTCCCCAGCAATGAAGAAGATCCCAAATTATCTCTCCAGCCACTAAAGAAGAGGTTTTAGCTGCAATTGTTTTCCCTGTTTCTGAGAGTACTTTATTATTGAGCAACCAGTGAACTTGTATACCTCTATTCTTATCTATTCCTTCCATATCCTAAAACTCAGAAGTGACGACAAGACAATCCTTTCCCAAGAGAATTACTACCCTCCCACCTCTTTCTCAAAGGAGCTGGTTCAGATAATGGACACACATTTTTTTTATTTCTTACTTTATTTTATTATAGAGATGTGGGGTACAAGTAGGATTAGGCACATAAGTAATCTATATGCAGGTGAAGTTTGGGCCTCCAACTGTTTGAACCTCCTCACTTCCCCTGGTTTAGGACCAGGTGCCTTTTATGTTGCCACATGCCTATCCCCCCACTTTCCTGGCAGTGCCCCACTGCCGCTGATCCTTCCCTTGTGTTATTGTGGTAAATGTTCAGGTCTCACTTATGAGTGAGAACATGTTGTATTTGACTTTTTATTCTTTGATAGATAAATAAGTATGATTGTTTTCAACTCCATCCACTTTGCTGTGAAGTCTATGATTTTGTCTTTCTTTATGGCTGCGTAATATTCCATTGTGTATATATACCACATTTTCTTTATCCAGTCCACTTCTGTTGGGCAATAGTGTTGGTTCCATGTTTTTCTATTGTGAATAGTGCGAAAATAAACATGCATGTGCAGGTGTCTTTTTTGTAGAATGACTTATGCTCCTCTGGGTATATCCCCAGAAAGGGAACTGCTGGATCCTATGGAAGGTCAATTTCTAGTTCCTTTAGAAATCACCACACTAGTGAGAAACTGCCAGGGGAGGGGACATGGAATGAGCAGTTGAGGGAAACTCCCAGGGAAGGAAGGGGCACACCTCTCAAAAAGGGTACCTGCACAATGAACACTTGTATACCTAACCTGAATTGTACTGCATGTTTTTTTAAAAATTTTTATTTTAAAATTGTGGGGTACAATTCAGGGTTAGGTATACAAATATTTACTGTGTAAGTACACTTATTGATGAGGTGTGTCCCCCCTTCCCCAGGCAGATATCAACTACTGTCAATCCCACCTCTCTGCCTGCCACCCCTCCCCCACCCCCCACAAATTCCTGCTACTATCAATCCTTTTCTTATAGTATTACAGTAGTTGTTCAAGGTCCACTTATTAGTGAGAACATGTGATACTCAGATCTTTGTTTCTGTGAAAGATCACTTAGTGTTATAAACTCTAATTCCATCCAGGTGACTGTGAAGTTCATGATTTTGTTCTTCTTTATGGCTATGTAATATTCCAAAAATGTACCACATTTTTTATCCAGTCTTCCTTTGATGGACAGCACGGTTGTTTCCATGTTCTTGCTATTGTGAACAATGCTGCGATAAACATACGTGTGCAGGTATCTTTTTTATAGAATGATTTGAGTTCTTCCAGGTTTATTCCCAGTAGGGGGGCTGCGGGGTCATATGGTAGGTCGATTTTTAGAACTTTTAGGAATCGCCACACTGTTTTCCACAAAGGCTGTACTAGTTTACACTCCCACCAACAGTGGAGAAGTGTTCCCTTTTCGCCACATCCTCTCCAGCATCTGTTATTTTTTGAGTTATTGATGGTGGCCATTCTGACTGGAGTTAGGTGGTATCTCAGGGGAGTTTTAATTTGCATCTCCTTGATGACTAGTGAGGCTAAACATTTTTTTATGTATCTGTTGGCTGCTCGGATGTCTTCTTTTGAGAAGTGTCTATTCATATCTTTTGCCCACTTTGTAATGGGGCTGTTTTTTTTTCTTTTCAGCAAGTTTGAATTCCTTATAGATCTGCTGCTATTCTAATTGGTCTTCCCTGGTAGGTAGTCTGACCTTTTTCTCTTGCTGCCTTTAGGATTTTTTTCTTTTATACCTACTTTGTTTAGGTGAATTATTATGTGTCTGGGATTTGGTCGTCTCAGTTGTTGTCTTGCAGGGATTCTCTGAATCTCTTGTGTTTGAATTTTCACATCACTGATGAGATGAGGGAAGTTTTCTTGAATAATTTCATGGAATGTTTGTTCCAGGGTGGTCTCTGTCTCTCTTTCTGCCTCAGAAAGTCCAATTACTCTTAGGTTTGGTCTCTTGAAGTAATTGCTCATCTCTTGAAGGTTTTGTTCTATCTTTTTAAGCTTCTTTTCTGTGTTTTTGTCAGTTTGGTTTAGTTCTATATTTTGGTCTTCAAGCTCTGAGATTCTTTCTTCTGCTTGGCTAATTCTGCTTTCCATGCTTATTAGTTTGTTATGTATTTCAATCACAATATTCTTTACTACTGTTATCTCAGTTATCAACTCCTTCCTATTTTCCTCTTGTCTCTCCTCAATTCTTTTTATTCTCTCTATTAATGTCTTGATGTCTGGGTTTGTTGTGTGTGATCAGTCATTCTGGGGGCTCTTCATTGTTTGCATTCCAAAGTCTGTTTTTTCAGTGTCTAACCTCTCAGTGGTCTGTGTGAGATCTATACTCTTCTTTTGGTTTTTCTTCATTTGTGTAGATTTTCCTCCCCACTTTTTCCTTTTCCCCCCATCTTCTTTAATTCTGCTGTTCAGCAGTGGAGGGGTTGCTTTTACTTCTGTTTGCTCAATCTCCTATTCTTCCTTATGTGAATCCTCTGGCTTTGTTCAATTCTGAAGCTGGACTATAGGTTAGGAGCTATACTTTTTGCAGTTTTGAGATTTAATTGAGGGGAGAGCTGTGATTCAAAATCTATCTGGAGATCCCAGTATCCACCGACAGGTGTATGGATGCTCTGGAACCCACTTCCCACTGCCTTGCAATCTGCCCATGCAGTGGGGGGGGTATAGGTTTGCTCCCTGAAAACAAAATGAGGTAAGAAAAAGGAAAAGAATGGAATGGGAAGTTGGGGGAAGAGGAAGGTGGAAAGAGAGAATATTAAGAGGGAAAACAGACAAACATACCGACTAACAAATGAAAAGAGGTACAAAGACAGATAAGAGAGAGAGAGAAAAAACAAACAAACATACAATCATACAGACTAACCTCCTTATTGGTATACTATTCCCCTACACAAACATGAGGTCTAAAGAAAAAAAATCAGTAAACTAACAGAAACAAAATAAGTATGAAAACGTTATCAATAACAGTAAGAAAAGAGAGAAAACAAGTTGAGTAAAACAGACAGTGAATAAAAATTAAAAAATTAAACCAAGAGACCCAAGCACGCTCTGAGATTTTTCCTCTAAGTTCAATGTCCTTTCAGCTCTGATCTCTAGCCTCATTGCAGGCTGGTAGGGTTGCTCACAGCTAGGGTCAGTTATCCCAGGCCTGCTGTGGAGAATGGCTCCGATCTGGGCTCAGTCTGCTTGCTGCCTGTCAAATCTGCCACTCAGATCTGACCTGTGTCCGATCTAGCATGGGGGAGAGGCTTCTGTCTCTCCCATTTTGATGCTATTACCCTAGATCCCAAGTTGGAGGCTGGGCAGAGCTGGGCAGAGCTGGACGGGGCAATGCAGGTCCCTGTCAGGTCTCAGGGCTCCAGCTGATCTCTTTTTCTGCTGCAGCCTGGGGGCCAAGCTGAGGAAGGCGGAATGTAAGACTGCCAGGCAGTGCAGGTCGGAGTAGCACTGGCACCTGGGGCAGGGCTGGGCAGGGTAGTGCAGCAGGCGAGGGGAGCCCGGTGCTCCATGGGGCAGGAGCCAAGGGGCCTCCCAGAGTGGGTGGGGGCGGCAGTGGCAGCCGTGGCAGAGGCCACTGCATCAGCAGTGCAGTGTGTGGGAGGAGCTCCACTGGGAGAGAGCCAAGGGGGGCGCGGGGGGGGTTGGGGGGGGGAAGAAGCAGCCGAGAGTCGCCCCAGGTGGGGGCAGAGGCGGAGGCGATGGCAGAGCAGTGCATGAAGAACAGGCTGGCAGCCGTGGGAGCCGCAGCCACTGGGGAAGAGAGAGAGTCTTTATGGACACTCCTTTTCGCGGAGGGGACCAACTTGCCCCATCACCATCTTGCCGGATGTCCCCTGGACACACATATTTTGATTTCTCAGACACCTTGAAAAGGTCCTATGGATCTTCTTCCACCATTACTCAGATATTCAGAGACTATACATTGGGAACCACTTTCTTTGGAGGAAGATACAGGGTTTTGACCAGGGAGGGGCACATAAGAGCTTCTGGAAGTGTTGGTAACACTAAATTTCTTGTCATGAATAGTAACTACACAACTATATACTTTATAATCATTATTGTAATACACAGATGTTATTTATTTTTTACACACATACACATGATAAAAGAAAAACAGTACTTACAGTTCAGGAGTAAAGTGGTAAATGGAGGAGGTCACGGGAAACTTGCAACCCCTCTGTTTACAAGCACTATCCTCTTACTTGAGAAAAAAAAAGTACTTGCTTTTAGCCTTTGAGACTGGTGGGTAACAAATGGGTGGAGCTCTGTGTCCAGCATTAGTTTACCCAGGCCATGGTAGCTTAGAGCATCTGTGGTGAATCTAGAAGCCCAGTTTAGCACAGAAAGGTACATCATCCTTAAGGACTCAAATTTGCCATCTGTGATGTGTGAGAAAACCATTCACCCACACAACCTGCACCACGATCCAGAATGCAAAGGACGGTGACCCAATATGGTACTCAGAGAACTTTTATCACAAAACTTCCTGTAGATACAACTTTCCTGAAAATGACTAAGGTGAGAAAAAAAGAAATGTCTATATTCTGAAGCATCTTAAAAACCCTAGGGCCACCCCTCTGGGAGCTGAGAAGCACAAAGAAGTACAATCATACATGTCAATCAGGAGGATCGATGTCCAGCTACTAAACCTTGTCCAGTATTCCACCAGACTGCATTTAAGATATTATATACTGACCACAGAATTTTTGGGAAACTTATCTCAGAAATGACATCTGCAGTCTAATCAAGAGACTTTCTCAATACTCAAGGGGAAAAAAGAAAAAGAGGGGGAAAAGGTAGTGATGTGGAATTTCATTCATTTATCAATTTAACAATTATTTATGAATATGCACCCTGTGATAGCATCTATCCTGTGACCTAAGTATTCAGCCATGAACACAATAGACAAAGTTCACTTGCTTTCATAAAGTTTGCCTTGTAATTTTGATAATAGTCAGTAGATCAGAATTTTATGAAGTTTTTTTTTAGATTTCGGTGGTATAAAAATAGTAAGTAATTACTATTAAAATAATAATAGTAATAGCCTCAATTATAAAAATTCTACATAAAAGAAAGGTAGCAAATGAACTTATTTTCTTAACCGTTAGGACTTCCTTTTAATAGCTTTGAAAGAAAAATTTCCCTTAGGGAATAAAGATGCTTGATCAGCTTTACTGCTATTTCATTTATATCAACTGACACAATTGTGAATCAGTAATTTTTATAGTAACCATTGTTTTTATAACTTCTGTCATTATTTAGAGAGTGTTACTAATCTTTGAAGTTAGCACATATTTCATAATAGGGGAAAACTAAAAATAGTTATTCCACTCAAGAGCTCTTACACTTTCTGACTCGGGTGTTAAGAGTTTAAAACAACTTGGAGTAGTAAATGACACTGATTTTCAATCTCTGCATTATATAGTAAAAATATACTTTAAAAGGTCAACTTTATATAATATTTTACAATGAAATAAATGACTTTAAATTTTTAAAAAAGTTTAAAACAGTATATGTAATAATGGCTTTGCTTTGAGACTTTTCCTGGGTTAATGAATCTAGTCAGCAAACATATTACCTATTAAAAGCTATTTTCCTTTTTTAAAGAAGAAAGCAACTTTCAAACTGAAGTCTTCTAACACCAGATACCTGTATGCTGCTGGAACCAGAGTTGATTTCCCTCCTGTTTAGGAAACGTCAGGAGATACCAGACTCCCAAAATTATTGCCATGGCCAGCTCTGTGCCTAGAGCTCATGGATCTAGAGGAATGTCTGGTTCCAGCAACTGAATCTCTTATGAGTTCAGACTTCCTGTTTTCCTGGGGAAGGCATCATAATATTGCTTTGTGGAAAGCACTTAGGCAAAATATAAAAATATGAATACCTGGAAAGCAACTATCTTTGCCACTTTGGGAACCTAAAAAAGTAATCAGTGAAGCACACAAAAAAAAGTATGTACAGAAATATACACGGCAACATTGTTTATCAGGGAAGAAAGTGAAACAAATGAAATGTCCACTGATAAGCAATCAGTTTGGCAGGTCAACAGCAGCATAGTGTCAGAGATTCACTCAGCTGAGACCCAGTGGCATTCCTTTTTCTGTATTCCCTGCATGTATCACATTAAGTCTTGAGTATAATCTCCATGAGTTTAAACAATTCTTACTTCTTTTCATCCATGTATCTTTAAAATTTATTACACATTTGACACACAGTAGGCACTGTGGAAATATATATTCCCTAACAGAGACCAAAACAAAAAACTCTTAGGTTAAAATTAACAAATTTTACAAACTTAGGTGTGGCTTTTAGCATTTGGAAAAAAAACTTTCAACTTAAAAATAAGAAAATATTATACATCTACCCCAAGATAATGAGCTATTTTTATTAATATTGTTTTTAATTGATAAATCATAACTATATACCTTTGTGGGGCACAGTGTAATGTTTTGATATATGTATGCAATGTAGAATGATTAACTCAAGCAACTTAACATAACACCACCTCACTTAACGTTTTATGGTGAGACGTTTGAAAGTTACCTCTCTTAGTTATTTTGAAATATCTATACATTATTATTGACTAAAGTCATCCTACTGTGGAATAGATCTGAAAACTTATTCCTCTTGATGTCTGAAATTTTGTTACCCATTAATCAACAATTCTCATTTCCTTCTTCCCTACCTTCCCAACCTCTGGTAATGCTCATTCTGCTCTCTATTTTTATGAGTTAAACTTTTTTATATTGTACTTATAAGGGAGATCCTGTGGTATTTTTCTTTCTGTAATTGGCTGATTTCACTTAGGAAAAATGTCCCCTAGCTTCATTTATGTTGTTGCGAATGACAGGACTTCCTTCTTTTTGAAGATGGAATAGTATTTCCACTATTTATTCCACTATATATACCATATTTTAAAAGTCTATTCATTCATTTATGGACAGTTATGTTGATTCTGTGTGTTAGAAACCAATAACCTCATTTAAAAATGGGCAAAGAGCCAGGGGCGGTGTCTCATTCCCGTAATCCCAGCATTTTGGAAGGCTGAAGCAGGAAGATTGCTTGAGCCCAGGAGTTTGAGACCAGCCTGGGTAACATAGCAAGACTTTGTCTTTACTTCTTATTTAAATTAATGTATGATTTTTTTTAAAGTAGGTAAAATACCTGAACAGACATTCCTCAAAAGAAGACATCCAAATGGCCAAGGAGTACATGAAAAAATGCTCAGCATTACTAATTAGTAGGGATATGCAAATTATAATCACAATGAGATATTATCTCACACCTGTTAGAATGACCTGTATCAAGGAGTTAAAGGATAACAAGTGTTAGAAAGGTTGCAGAGAAGAGAGACTTCTTGTATATTGTTGATGGGGATGGGAATGTAAATTAGTATAGCCATTATGGAAAACTTTATGAAAGTTGCTTTAAAAAAAAAAAAAATAGAACTACCATGTGATCCAGTAATCCTACTTCTGGGTACATATTTGAAGGAATTGAAATAAGTGATATCTGCACTCTCATGTTTAAAATAAGCTAATTTTAAAAATAATGATCAATGGAAAAATTTACCCAGCGTATCACTTAAAATCAGAGTAGGTAAGTTATATTAATTTTTTCTTATTTACTCCTCTTTCTTGTAGCCTATGATATTGCGTATGGAATTGGGTCATATTTTATGGCAAGTATCTTGTTTGGAATCCTAAGTTCAAAACTGATCCAGTTGTGGTTGTCAGCTGTTTTTGGTGATGATGTCAATCATATGAGTATCATCTTTTCAATTCTGTACCTCATCTTTTATTTTTGTAAGTAAGAGGCATATACCTGAAATTAAATGACATAGAAGAATTCAAAATAAATATATGTGAAAATACATACCAGAGAAAAGTTAATAAAAATGTTTAACTGATTTAGAAGGAATGTGTCAAAATAATCTATCAAAAGAGATGAAAGATATGAATAACTAACAGAAAGCAATGTACCAAGATATATAGATCAAATGCTATTATAAAGGAAAGAAAAACTTTACAAAACTATAATTATGGTAAAATAAATTATTCTGCCTTTCCCAAAGAATTTCATGACCAATTGGACAAAAATAATTAAGGTTATTTAAATAACTTATAAACTTGGGTTATAAGATATATAGAGCTTTTGCCTCCCAAAACAGAATTTATGCCCTTTACATATAGAGGACAATTTACAGAAATTAACTAGAATTGAACAACACTTCAATAAAATTTCAAGTATTCTTCAACCATGAAGCAATTAAATGAAATGTTAACTACAAAAAGAGAGTTAAAAGAAATCATTCTAGCTGCCCATAATTTAGATATATTTTCCTTAGTAGATCAAAAAAAAGTTAGAGATCAAACAAGAAAATCTATCAATATTATTCATTCATTTACCACAATTGCTTCCCACAGAAGTATGGCCAATATTAATAATTAGTCAGATCACTGTTTCCTGTTGCAGTACAAGAATCATGTTCAATGCAGTTCTTCAGACAGCCCTACAATGATTGGGAGTTGGCATGTGAGCTGATACCTAGTTACTACACCTATACAATGACTTTCTATTACATTTAGAAATAAGATGATGGTGCATATTGTCATATCCATAATTAAAAATAGTTCTGGAACCCTAGCTAATACAATAAGGGGGAAAAAAAGAGGTTCGAACATATTTTAGGAGGAAAAAATGGCTACATTAATTACAACATTTTATAGTGTGTGTAGAATATGCAACACAGTCAATTAGTAAACGAAATCAGCAAGATTCTCTCTCATAGCTTGATATAAGATAAGTTTACCCAAAGCAATGAATAGTGTTTTTATAAGCCAACTGTAACTAGCTAGTAAATATAAGGAAAATTTGATTCTCTGTACATTGGCAAAAAATTATAAAATATTCAAGGAATATACTTAACAAGTAGTTTGGACCTAAACATAAAAAATTACAATTTATTAAGAAATATAAAATTTGAATAAATCAAATCATAGGGAAACATCCCTTGAGAAACACTAGAGTAACGAGATTCATTATTTTTATGTCTGAAAGGGGGAAAGCAGAACATGGGATCTTGAAGTTTTCTAACTAATCAGTGGATTAAAGTCAATTATAATACAGTGAACTTACAGAATCAAGGTAACAAATTAAAAGACAATGAGGGAATGATCATTCTGTTTGGGTAGGTTCTTCGTGTACTAGACTTTGCTTGTATATTTAAATTCTTACAAAAATATATTCCAACACATATGATTTCCTCTAGCATCATCTAATTGAGCCTGAAGATTAAGGGAGAAAAAAGTTAACTGAGGAAGTAATTTTAAACTTTTAGAGTTAAGATGTCTCAATAAACATTTTAGGAAGAATCCTGCCAGGACAAATTTTTTGAAAGCAAGATATGGAGTAAATATAAGTCTAATGTACAAGAACTTCCTCAGTGTCTTCAAGACATCATAAAAACCTTTCTAATTTCACAATAGCCTACCAAGTTATAATGCCTAGTCCAGGACTTAATCTTTTTAAAGCCCACGTTTCTGTGGTTCCCTCTTCTTTCATGATCCAAAAATGTTTAAAGTGTTTGTTTTTGCTTTTGTTACCATTTCTAGTCAGGACTAAAATTAAAAGTGTAAGTTTTTTGTAATTTTCCATCACTAGAAGGAAAAACTCAATGGCATGATGATAATTACATAAAATTAAAATGTATCACAATCCAAATCGCACAATGATATAACATTTTTCTGGTTCCAAATTTTATAAGAATAATTTTTAAAGTTTATCTAGAGAAATTAATGTGTGAAAATAGACAAGGATAACTTTACTTGCCAGATAGAAATTAAAACATTTGACAAACCTATAGTCATTAAAATACAACTGTTGTAACATAATAATACAAAGTAAATCAAAGAAACAAAAAATGCAGAACTGATTCACTGATCCAAGTATGAATGACAAGTTAATATCTATAAAAGCATGAAATATTCTTTAGTATTAAAAATAAATATTATAATTTTAAATTATTAATTGCTAAGAAGCCATGTGACATGGGCTCATTCCCCCAAGAACTCATAGACTTTACTACATAATTGAGTATGAATCAGAGGAATAAAAAGGACATTGTGTGGTGGTAACAATTCGCAATATTTTCCAAGTGAGGTAGCCTCTCTAAAAAGTCACTACTCCATCAAGATATCTGGTAAAATTTGTGCTACTGTTTATGTTAAATTAATGCTTTCTATTTATTTCCTTTTAAAAATAGGTGAGTTAGTTAAAATGTCAGGAATATTTACTCTGACCATTATGGGACTCTTTTTAAATTCTACAAATTTTAAACCAGGAGTTGAAGCACTTCTTCTCAAGTAAGTGGCTAGCATATTTTCTTTTTTAAAAGAAAATTTTATTTTAAAGATGTGAGGTACAATTCAGGATTGGGTATACAAATGTTGGTTATGCAGATACCCTTGTTGATGAGGTATGCCTCCTCTCCCCTGCCACTACTGCCAATCCCTTTGCATATTTTCACTTTGTTTCATACATTGGAAGCTATAATATAACTACATTTGCATCTATATCTACATAGTCAAAATAGATTTTTTTTAAAGACTTAAAAGATACCCAACTAAAAACTCTTCCTTTTTTTTTTTTTTTGCCTATGTTCTCAAATCCTCAAATTTGAGGCAAAATTTGTAACCTCATTTTGAGTTTATGTTGATTCTATTTTCCCCACTAATTTCTCAGCTCTCTGATCATTGATTCAGCAATTTCCTATCTGAAATCCTATACTCTTATTAGTAAGAGGATGTCAATAAATGCAGTAATTGATAAGTAATATTTTAATGCAATTTTTAAAAAATTGAACTTAATGCAAAAAAATTCTGAAGACTTATTTTGAGAATGATGAAGAGATGTCATGCAAGCAAATTAAAAGATTAAACTAGGGCATCTGAAGAGAATCGACAGTGTTATAAGAGAAAGTATAGCCAAACTAAATATAAGACTGTAAGTGGAAAAGTGCAAATCATGCTTTGCCTAAAGATACCCAGTTGAGTGGCAAGTGGGATTTATGTCAGCCTAGAGAAAGAACACACTCTGTAGTGCTTCAGGACATAGGATGGGAACTTGACTTAAATCACACAATAGCAACATATGTGTTAACAGAGGCCATGAAAGCAAACAGTGATTTCTGGAGTGTGGGAGAACGTTTCAGAAGAAATTCTGGAGGTATAGGATCGTGTAGGATTCTAAAGTACCTCACTAAAATTCCATGTCAATTACAATGAAAGTCAATTGGACTTGCAGTGAGACAGAATTAAATGGACTGCAAATTACTATTACACAATATTTAATTATATCTATGGGAAGTGATTCTGAAGGCTCCCCTTACCTTCTTGATCTAACTATAAGCTGAGTCTCCCCCAAAATATTACTACTCTTGGATTCCTTATAAGTTGTGATGTCCTTCTCACCAGCATTTCTGGTACTATTTTGCCTACAGTTGAAGTAGGAGATCTCTCTTCATCTGAAAGTCATTTCCAGATCATTCTTTTTCCTTTTTCCTCAAAAGACACAATTTTCAAGCTTATGCCATCAGATCATCACAACTACTAGCCTCTTGGTTGCAGTTCATCCTAGAACTATGGGTCCCATTCCATTTTGTGAAGAGTTTGGCTCCTGCCTCACTGTGACTCTCTCCAGTATTACTCTATCACCATTCTTAGTGATATCAATAACCATATAGTTATCCTTCTACTCCCTCATCTTTCCTTTCCTGGACCTTCTTCTATGACTATGTCTACCACCCCTCTTTAGCCACACTTATACAAATAACCACTCCATAGTCTCAAATTCAAGAATCTTGCTATTTAAAATATGGTATATACCAACTCCTGCTCTCCAAAATAGTAGAGATCTAAGATACTAGTGATAACCCCTACAGTATCCCATGACAACCTGCAGCAGGCCCATGCTACTCTTCACTTTATGACCGCCAGTATTCTAATTCGAACAATTCTCCAAAAACACTGAGGCTAAAATCCATTGATCCTATGATCTTTTACTTACCCTCATCCATCTCATATCTTCAGTGCCTCTTTACCCAGGTCATTTCTTTTGTTTAAACTTATTTAATAACTTTTTATTTTTTTCAGCTACAAGTCAAAATTGTTTTAATGGCAAAGTCCCATGATTTGTTTCCCTGCTGCCTCTGTAGTTCATTTCTGCCGCTCTCATTTTCACCCACCCTGCTGAAGCCACAGTGATCACCTTGTTATTCCTCAGAAATGCCAAGCATGCTCCTTTGTTTGGCCTTATTTTCAGTTCTTGGAATGCACTTCCCTTGTATATTGGCAGAAGTAGCTCCTCACTTCTTCCATGCTTTTATTCATACATCACCTTAATATAAATAAATTCCCCAAGTAGAAACTACCTCTTTGCCAGCCTGCACAATATTTTATGCCAGTCCTTAGATATCATTCCACTAAGCTACTGGCTATGCAAGAGTGGGCAATAAAATAATGAAGATGCTTAAGAATACTAGAATCAAAATCTATGAAAGTGAGATCATAAGATTTCTATTTTTAAAAAACTCTTTCCAGATGATACTTAAAGTATAGACAAGGTGGCAGCCCATTGTTACTTTAAAAGATCTAGATTAGGACAATTTATGATCACCAAATAAAGGAAAAAACTTAAAAATATGCAGAAGCTCTTTTTGTGTGCCTGAATTATTGTACACACACACACATACACACACACACAGACATCCCACACACACATGCATGAGTACATCCACACATCTACCAAATGGGTTTGGAGCTTGGATGTTTGACTCACACCCACTCTAAATTTGATAGAGACTGATCCCTTAAATAATCTTGTTTTAGCCTCATCAATTTTCTCTAATTAATTTCTACCATGTGTGAAAGTGTCCCAATAGTTTAACTGATCTGATTACGTTTCATGCTAATTAATAAGACTGATTTTTAAAATTTGGTGGTGCTTTTTTACAGTTTTATAAGCTTTTAAACTATGTGATTATTAAATCAATAGTAAAGTATGATTGTGGTTCATACTCACCATTCACTTGATTAAATTATCCTACTCAACGCTTACAAGTAATTTTACTAATTGTATGGGTAGATGGATATAATCCTTTGGGGAATTTTATTTGGGGGGAACTATGTGCGAAATGCAACAACTGGATTTTTCTTTTGCTTGTGAAGTCACAATACAAAACAATTGAAAAACAATACAAAATTTATATTGTCACAAGATATATCTTAGTGTATTGTTCTCTAAGCTTATGTTGGATGCAATATTTAAATCTAGAGAATAACATAATTAAAGATATGGCCATACATATACAAGAAAGGGATGATAGTTCACAGTACTAAACCAAAATTCAGTCACAAAGAAATATTTTTAGTTCTTTCACTCAATAGTTCCTGTGCTAGAATACTTTATGTTGGCTGTTTCTCTGGTGATGCCTAGTTTTTTGTCCCTCTTAAATTATAGTTGAAAGATTTCTTATTATTGTAATAGAGAAAGTCTTGGTTTTCGTTTTGACTTTGTTTTTAAGAAAAAGCAATATTCCCCTCCAGGACAAAATTTATCTTGGTCAGGGACAAAAATCTCGCAGACAATAGGTAAAACCAAGCTGCCATCTCCTCACCAAATGATATTCGTGTGCCCTTTTCATTTTTCCATTTGTTTTGTTATAAAAGTAATATGTGAACATTGAAGACTAGAGAAAAGGAAATAAGTTTTTAAAAATAGCCTCTCTTATTCTTAACACCAAAACATGTCCATATTGATTTTTGAGTGTCCTTTTAGAAACTACTTTGCCAGTTCTTATCAGTTGATAAGAACATGAGAAGTAAGAAATAATAATAGAGTTTTCCTGGACTCCAAAGCACTTGGATAAGCACATTCTTATAAATTCAAAATGTAGAATATACAAAGGACAAAAGAAACTAATCAACAAAGTGAAGAGAAAACCTATAGGCTGGAAGAAAATATTTGTAAACTATAAATTTGTTAAGGGGTTAATATCCAAAATATATAAAATGAACAAAAGACCTCAAGTTATATGAACTATAATGTCTGGATTCTGAATTCTATGAAATAGCGTAGCTACAACCTAAACATTTTTGCAGATACAATTGAAAAAGACACTAATTTACACATAGTATAAACTAGTTTAAATTGATTTAGTATTATTTGCTTACTTGCCTTAGTGTTCCATTTTCAAGTTAAAGTCTATGCCCCTTGAGTGTTAGTAAATGCCTTATTCGTCTTTACATTCTTGATAATGAATAATACAATGCTATAAATAAGCCTTGTAGTAAAAATGTTAGATCAATTAATCAATTAACTATATTTAATCTTTTTGAAAAATGCAGATTCTGGAATTGTCTATCATTTGTTGCTTTTCTAATGGTATTTACTTTCACTGGACTTATAATTCCTGCTCATGTATATTTATATGTAACACTTTCTGATATATATTATTCATTAAATATCTACTTAACACTGATTGTTTTAAGGTAAGAATGCCATTTGAATTTTTCTATTTATAGAAAGTTGAATAAGTCTGAAAGTCATCTTTTAAATAATAAAAAGTTCTCATACCTTAGAATGAACAAGTGATTTAAACTTTCAAAGGAACCATCAGCAAATTAACGCTTGGTAATTCTTTTCAGTTTTTAACTAAATTTCAAAGCAATGCAAACTCTTTGTAAAATTTTTTAAAGTTTAGAAATAAGGAAAACAATGTTCATACTCTTATATACCTAGAAGTAACCACTATTGACATTTGCCATAGTTTGTCCACTGTTTTTTATTTTCTGTGAGGTATCATGGAGTTAAGCATCTATCATAAATAAAAATTGTTATCTTGTGTTTTTGCCCAATATTATATAACAATTTTCTTTGAATTAAATATTATAATTGAAATAACTTTTGTAAAAATCTCAAGGAAGCCCTCTTTGCAAATGGCTTTTTTTTTTTCCTCCAGTAATTTTTGTAGTTTTTCTACTCTTAAGAGGCAGAAAAAGTTTGCCCATGTAGCTGGAAAAAAGGTGACAGAGTGGGAAAAACCACCATAATCAAAGTCTTACAGTTCTTTTAATTTCATCACTCAGATAGCTAACATTCTACTTCCATCTAGTTGTATTATCAACATCAAGTCAGCTAGTATCAAATAAATTGAAGTTGATCCTAAATTATCAAATAAAATTAGTGTAAAATGTAAAAATGATTTGTGGCTAAAAGAAAAAAATAGAAAAAAATGACCAATATTGAACAGATTAGCAAGATTAAAATATATGAAGAAAAAAGAAAGGGAGAACATTTTCTTTATATTTTTAAGTTATTAGATTTGTTTTCTTTTTTTAAATCTAGCATATATCTACAAAATGTCTCTCTTTTTTTTTCCACCTCAAGGAGCACCATTCAAGGGTGATATGGCATTACGCTACTATTCACCTAGCAGAAAGAAACAAGAGAGCAATGCCCTTCTCCTGCCAGGCCTCTCTAGGGAATATCTTTGGTATCATGCTCACAGTGTGTGAAAGATGTCTCTTTTGTTTGAGAGTTAGCAATTCCGCAGGGAATAGGTTGGAATGGGGTAGAATATAATGGAAAGAAATTCTCTGACGAGAATAACTTTCTAAAAATTGTTTTGTCTTTTAGACTTCTGGTCTTCCTGTTAATGAGCCCTATTTTGTCTCGAGTTGGTCATCAGTTCACCTGGCGCTGGGCATTCATAATGGTCTGGAGTGAAAAGAAAGGGATGCCTAATATAGGCATGGCCTTTCTCCTTGCCTACTCTGACCTTTTTCTTGCATCGGAGAAGGAAAAAGCTCAAGTAAAGAAACTTGCCTTTTCTTATTTGAATATTTTATAAAACTCTTGCTGGTGTGCTCAAAATATATATGTGTGCATACACACACACACACACACACACATACACACACACACACACACACACACACACACACACATATATAGTAGTGACATAGCACGACCCTATTAGGGCTGTAGGAGGTATTTAGCTATGATGGCAAGATTAGGGAGAGGAGAAATAACTTGGTAGTTTTCCTCTCCTCCCATTCTAGATTTCTAAATTCTTCCACGCTTCTAAAAATAAGATTCTTGTAAAGATTAAATTAATTCAAACTTATAAATCCTTTAAAATAGCACCTGATACAAAGTATGTACTCCATAATGTTTTAATTTTTATTTACTTTTAATATTCATTCAAGAGAAGCATCTTTATGACTGACCCTATTGCCTGCTGTAACTTTATTAGGCCACATTTCATAATGTCAGGAGCAAAAACATTTTATCAGGTAAAGTACTCTAACCAGTACCCCCAAACTTTGCCTAACAGCACATACTAGGTACGATCCTCCCTCTACCATGTCTCTGGGCAAGATAATTGCAGGGAGGTCTATAAGAAAGTTCCTATGGAGGTATCATAGAGTATCCACACTTGCATTGTGCTTTAAAAAAAAACACACACACACATAAATTCCAAGTGCAAAAAGGAGAGTAGCAGGGTAACTATGTGTCCAATTAAATAATGTGCAGTCCAAACATTAAAAAATCTCTAAACTTCTTTTAGAAACAAAATTATCTACTATTTCAAGACCTCCCTCTTCTTGTTTATCTATTTCCACATCCATAAATAATACAGATCAGTGTCATCACCACATGTCCTGACCTGTGTGATGGTTAACTTTGCACATGAATCTAGGTTCTACAATTTTTAGCTTAGCTGTTATTTGCTCTGTGGCCTTCAGCAAGTTTTTAAATTTCCACCTCATGCCAAGTGTCAATTTCCTCACTCCAAAACAGACTTAATAATAGTACCAATGGTATGCTGGTAAATGTCTAACAAGTAACTTGTGTGTTAAGGTGGGGAGAAGCCCTAATTTGTAGTATTTGCAAATTTCTCTTTGTAATCACTTCCACCAACAGAACATTGATTAGCTCATAAACTTTTTGAAAACGTAATGATCAGCTCTTACGAGCTAGTAAGAGCCAGCCCTAGCATACCACTCTCACACAGGGTTATTATGAGAAATTTTAACTTGTACATAATCCACTTAGCATATTGTTTAGCATATCATAAATGTATAGTAAATATAAGTTATGATGATAAGGAGGAAAAGGATGATGATGACCTACCATGTAGTCCTGCTTTGAAATAAAACCTTAGTAAATAAAATCTTTTAGTAAAATGTTCTTACTAGTAGTTAACTCCTTAAGAGCAAAGTATCACTTCTTTCTTAATTTAACCTTGCTGAATCCTACAGCTAACTTACTAATACCTGCAAAGAGGCCATAAAGTGAACTGTTAAAAACACTAACTTTAAAGACATACTGCCTTTTTAATTTTAGCTCTACGACTTACAAGTTATATAATGTGTATATTACCGTGCCTCATTTTCTCGTCTGTACAATTGAACAATATTGGTATTTATTTCACAGAATTGTAGTGAAGATTAAATAAGTCTGGCATATTGTACTATATGCCTGCTTTGTAAGTGTTACCTTTAATTATTTTTAAACTATTAAACTAATTTAGTGGTCATTTCCCTAGAATAGCACTTTAGATTGTTTCAGGAACTTCTAGAAAAATACCAGGGTCTGTGGAATTCTGGCCTTTGCCATGATGAATAATGAGGATCACACAACTACATAACACACAACTAGAAAAATGGTTAAAATATATGAAATATATAAAATATATAAAATATATGAAGAAACTGATTTAGTATTGAGCAAGGGACACTGTATGATTAGCTTCTTGGAGATATATAAGGTGAACTCACGTTCATTCTGGCCTTTCTTCCAAAATGTGGCACAGAGAAGTGAAGAACAAACAGAGGGCAGTTATCTCACTGAGTGGGGGGAAAAAAATCAGCATTTTAAGGCGACTAACATAACTAGAATTTGAGGTCGGGCGAGTCAGGGTACCATAAAATAATTATATAGAAAAGGAGTATCAGAAATCTACCTAGGAGTCCCTTTGAATCATTAGTCCAATACTAATCTGTATCTGTAAAGATTTTGGAAACAAATCAGCAAAGAGCTATTAGGAAGCTTTGAGCTGAATGGACATTCTGGAAGCCACACAGGACTGACAGATACTTGAGTTCTGACTAACCATGATGTATAAGCCTCACCCAACAATACATAGATTAAGTTGTGACCCCAGAAAGACCATTCCTTAGAAATAAGAATTATGCCCTAAGGTAAGATTTACTCTAGACCCATTCTAAGAAAGACTAAAACGATACCATAGTAGAATAATATGATCTGCCAGTAAATTAGCTGCCTGATGCAAAACTCAAAACTCTTTACAGGAAGACAATACAATCAAGACTCTCAATAATGTGGCATTCATAATACACAGTCTGAAATCAAATATTAGCATGCATGTTAGGAAGCAGGAAAATATATTCCCAGTGGATTTTTGTCAAAGATCCAAAAGCACTTAAATAGAAAATGGATGGTCTTATCAGAAAATAGTACAGAAGTACTGGATATTTGTTGGCAGAAAAAAATGAAGCTTAACCTGTCTCACATCTTATATAAAAATTAATACCAAATGGATTATGAAATTAAATATAAAATGTAAAACTTTTCAAAAAAACAGTCGGAATAAAATTTCGGAGCCTAAAAAAAGGCAGAGCTTCCTTCCTTAGGTTTCACATCAAAAGTATGATCCACTAAAAAAAGAAGTCAATAAATTATATTTCATCAAAATCTAAAACTTTAGCTCTATGAAAAACCATATTACAAATATATAAAGGCAAAGTTTAACCTGAGAGATAATATTTACACTCAAGGTATCTGTCAAATCTTCATATCTAGAATATGTAAAGAACCCTCAGAACTACATAGTGAAAGAATTATGCACAGAATATAGGAAAAGACATTTTACTGTTGAGTGCATACAGTTGCCAGATAAACATGAAAACATAGTCAATGTCATTCGCAAGTAGGGAAATAAAAATAAGACCACAGTGAGACACCATCTGTCAGAAAAGTTAAAATAAAATACACTGACATCAGATGCTGCAGAGGATGCAGAAAAAAATAGTAAAAAAATTGCAACTCTTATGTTGTTGGTAGTAATATAAAATAGTATAGTCACTCTGAAAAACTGTTTGGAAGTCACTTTTAAAAACTATACCATGCTTCCTGGCTTTGGCTCCATCCCTCACCTTGGAGAGGTGAATCTTCTCTCTCCTTTCTCTTTCTCTAATTTACTTTTAAATTATATATATATATAATTTATATAAAAAAATATATATACGTATATATAAAAAATATATATATACATATAATTTTTTTAAAGAAACTATACAGTCGGGCTTGGTGGCTCAGCTTGTAATCCCGCACCTTTAGGAGGCTGAGGTGAGTGGATTGCCTGAGCCCGCGGGTTCGAGACCCGCCTGGGCAGGCGAGACCTCATCTCTACAATAAATCAAAAAATCAGCTGGGCATGGTAGCACGCGCCTGTAATTCCGGCTACTCGGAAGACTGAGGCCGAAGGATTGCCGGAGCCCAGCAGGTCGAGGCTGCGGTGGCCGGGAGCGGCCACTGCACCCCAGTCTGGGCGACTGAGTGAGACTCCAACTCAAAAAAAAAAGAAACTATACATGCAACTACCATACAGTCTAGTCATTGGTCATCTGGGGATTTATCACAGAATGGTGAGAATTTACATCTACTCAAATCTGCACATGAATTTTGATACCAGCCGAAATCTGAAAACAGCTCAGATATTCTTCAACAAATAAATGTTTAAATACATTGTTGTACACATATATCATGGAATTCTACTCAGCAATGTAAAGGACCAAACTATTGATATAAGCAACAACCTTGCAAATCATCAGGGAATTATGCTGAGTGAAAAAGTTAATCTCAAAGAAGAGTATATACCATGGGATTTTAATCATATAACATTTTCTAATGACAAAATTATAGAAATGATGAACAGATTAGTGTTTGCCAGTGGTTAAAAGGGGTAGAGGCAGAAGGGAAGTGAGCGTGGCTATAAAAGGGCAACATGAGGAATTCTAATGCAATGGAACCATTCTGTATCTTGTCTATGCTAGGATGCTTGTCAACATCCTGGCTGTCATTGTCTACTATAGTTTGGAAGATGTTACCACTCAGGTAAATTAAGTAAGTGGTACACAGAATCTCCTTGTGTTAGTTCTTAAAACTGTATGTGAATCTATAATTATCTCAAAATAAAAAGTTTAAATTCAAAAAAAGAATGAGCGATACACAGAATGAGAGGGAGAGAGATTAAAAAAAAAAAAATTATCGGCTAGGCTCAGTGGCTCAGCCTGTAATCCCAGCACTTTGGGAGACTGAGGCGAGTCGATTGCCTGAGCAAGCGGGTTCAAGACCAGCCAGGGCAACTTGGCGAGACCTCGTTTCTACAATAAATTTAAAAAATAAAAAATTAGCCAGGCACAGTAGCACACAGTTCCGGCTACTTGAAATGCTGAAGCAGAAGGATCGCCAGAGCCCAGCAGGTTGATGCTGGGGTGGCCGTGAGCATGCCACTGCATTCCATCCTGGGCGATGGAGTGAGACTCCAACTCAAAAAAGAGAGAGAGAGAGAGAGAAAGCCCAATATCAGTAATTTAAAAAGCGATATGATTACAAATTATTCAGTTATTAAAGGAATAAGTGGAAACTGTGCACAGCATTATGCCAAGAATTTCAACACCTTAGATGAGACAATCAAATCCCTCCAAAAAAAGTACAAAAAACAAGTAACACAAACAAAAAACCTCCACACCTTACCCAAACTAACACAAGAACAAATAGAAAATCTGAATACCCTTACATCTGTTAAAGAAACTGGACATAAAAAATGTTCTCAAAGAGAAAATTAAAAGCCCAGATAGCTTGACTAGTAAATACTACCAAATACTTAAAGAACAAATACTACTAATTCTGTACAAATTATTCCATAAAATAAAAAGAGTTATAACACTTCCTTATTCATCTAATGTGGCCAGCCCACTCTAATACCAAAGACCAACAGAGATATTACAAGAACAATAAACTATGGATAAAACACAATGCAACAATTGTTAAAAAGCATTTGGCCAATAAAATTTCTCTCTCTCTCTCTCTCTCTCTCTCTCTCTCCCTACCCCTTCACTCATATATATCACAAAGAGACAATATCTATCAAAAAGTATAAAGTAAAAAATATATATGATAATGCATTATGATCAAGTAGTTTTTATCCAAATATGTAATGTTAGTTTAGCATTCAAAAAATAATAGTTTGCTACATTACCACAATAAAGGAGAAAACCTTTATTATTACTTTAATAGATGCAGACAAAGCATTTGACAAAATTTAACACTGATATTTTTAGAAAGAAAAACTTTATGTGGAATAAAATTTAAAGAAAACTGCCTTAATTGATGGAAGACATTTATTTAAAGAGAAGAAAAAAAACCCTAAAGTTTAATTGATTCATAATGATGAGATCCTGAATGTTTTCCCCCTAAGTTTGAAAAAACAGGTAAATATGTATTCGGTGTCCTATCCAGGACAATAGAGAGGAAAAAAGGCAAACAGATTGGCATGTACCAAATAACCATTGAATAAATAAGTAAATCTATCAAAATTGTGAGATGCATGTTCAGTATACAAAATGAAATTATATTTCTCTATACTAATAGCAAACAGAAAAATTAAATAATAATGATAACATCAAAAACATGACATAGGAATAAAAATAATGAAATATGTATATATTGTTATTGCTATCTTATGGTTATGTAGCAAATTATAAAATGTAGCTACTTGAAACAAGAAACATTTATTATCTCAGTTTTTGTGAGTCAGGAATCTGGGTGCAAATTACTGGGTACCTCTGGTTTAGTTTCTCTTATAAATTTCTATGTAAGCATAAATTGGGTGTGCAGCCATCAAAAGGCTCAACTGGGGCTGTAGAATCAGCTTCTAAACTCGGTTGCATGCCTTTGACATAATTCAGTTATTTGCAAACAATGAACTAAAGGATTCAGTTTCTTGTTGGTTCTTGAACAGAAGCTTCCCTTAGTTCCTTGTCACATGGGTCTCTCCATAAGTGAGTTTTCAATGTGATACATGGCTTCTCTCAGAATGAGCAAGCTAGAGCACTAGAGAGAGCAAGCCCCCAAGATGGAAGCCACAGTCTTTTAATAGCCTAATATTGAAAGTGAATTTCCATTACTTCTTCATATTCTACATTAAAAATGAGTCAATATGACCAGCCTACACTCAAGGAGATTAAATATCAAGAAGTAGATATCTCTGGGGGCCAACATAGGGTCTCTGTTCCAAAATGTGCAAGACTTGTACACTGAAAAGTACAATATGTTGAGAGATTTTAAAAGACCTAAATAAATGGGGATATATTTCAATCATGAATTGGAAGACTCAAGATTATTAAAATGTCACAGTATTCAACACAATTCCAATTTTATAAGATTTGTTTTAGAAATAGCTAAACCAAATTTAAATTTTATATAAAAATACAAAAAACTTAGAATAGCCACGATAACTTTGAAAAAGAACAAAGTTGAAGGATTCATACTATCTGATATCAGGGCTTACTATCAAGATACCAGTAGTTAAGTTGATAGAATGCTGACATAAGAATAAAAAGTAGATCAATAGAATGTAATAAAGAGTTCAGAAAACTCACATGTATTTGGTGAATTGATTTTTGAAGAAGATACCAAAGCAGTTCAATGAAAGAAAAATTAATCTTTTCAACAAATAATGTTGAATTGCTGCATATTCATTAGGGGAAAAAATAAAACATATTTTAATCTCACATCATACATAAAAATGATTTGATATGGATCATAGACTTAAATATAAAATAAAAAACTCTAAAACTTTTGGGAGAAATAGTTTTGTGACCTTGGATAAGGAGAGGTTTCTTAGGACACAAAAAAAGTAATAACTTCACCAACATTGAAAAGTTTGCTCATCAAAAGGTAGTTTTACAGAAAAGAATAGATAAGCTACAGAGTGGGTGAAAATATTCACAATACACAATAAATGACAAGGCATTTCTATCCAGAATTTTTTTTAGTTTGTACATTTTATAATAAAAGAAAAATAACCCAATTTAAAAATTGTACAAAGAGTTGAACATTTCAAAAAGAAAGATGCATACTAATAGGCATTTTAAAAATGCTCAGCATTGTTACTCTAGGAAAATGCAAATTAAAACCACAGTGAGACACATAATTTGCTAATTTATATGAAGATTTCAGAACTGGCAATTCTCACCTGTAGAAATAGAAATCAGGACAGTAGCTGCCTCTCGTAGGTAGGGAATTGATTGGAAGGGGGCACTAGAGAAATTTAGAAGAATATGACTATATTTTGCATCTTGAACGGATTAGGGTTTATATAGGTGCATGCACTGTCTAAAGTCATCAAATGGTATATGAATACATTTCATTGTATGTATATTATACCTCAAAATTACTAATTACCAATGTGTGGCCTGTACACTTAAAACATTAAATCAGTGGCTAGGCATGGTGACTTATACCTGTAAAGCACTTTGGGAGGTGGAGGCAAGAGGATTGCCTGAGTCCAGGGGTTCAATACCAGACTGGGAAACTTAGTGAGACCTTGTCTCTACAATCAAAATCTTAGCTGGGTGTGATGATCCACACCTGTAATTCTAGCTACTTGGAAGGTTGAGGCAGAATGATTTTCCTAGCAGGTCGAGGCTGTGGTAGCCATGACCATGCCACTGCACTCCAGCCTGAGCAACAGAGTAAAACTTCAACTCAAAAAAAAATAAATAAATAAGAAGAATATTCAGTGGGGGCATTCTAGCAACCAATATTCTAACATTTGCAAGTGATTCTAATGTACAACTTTGAGAGCCTCTAATATGGTTTCATGCTCTGTTTCTAACTTTCATCTGTGGATATAGAACAGAGGACTGACTGGGCATTTAACATAAGTTCTGGAAGTTAGAATTCCATAATTCACAGAAGTGTGTAGTCTCAAGTTGAAAAGGGCTAGTCCACTCATCTATGGAGACTGATGGGATATCATTGGAAAAATAAATCAAGTGGCACCAAAGACATTCATAACTTCTTCATCCTAACATTGAAAGGGTGACAAAGAGGCAAGGTATGAAGCAGAAGAAACATATCAAGGCCTCTACGTTGTTCTCTCTTCCCAATTGAGGTGAATTATTGGGTGGAGATGTGCTGGTAATGTTGATTAGAGAATTGTTTGACTACGCACAGAGAGGTGTGGATAACGGTTAAGGATTGATAAAGTACCGGTGTATGCTCAAGGCTCAGGAAGCGCAGTAATGGAATCTAAGGGCAGACTTTCTTTCCCAATGTCTCTGTAAGTATTTACTTACTTGCCAAACCATGTGTACTGATTTCAGTTTGGTTCCAAAGCATGAAAACATTACGTGCAGGAAGATAGAGAATTCTCAGAGTACTTTCATCATGCCTTAGACTGATATCCAAATTTCTTCCTACGATGTACTTTTGTTAACATAGTACAATCTACCTTAATTTATAATAGTAAATATAGACTAAGTTATATGAAACTTTCATGAATAATTACACTGCATTTTTTTCAATTCTAGATAGTTTTTCATGGAGTGTCAGTATGCTTAATCACCCTAACTGTCAATAGATTTATTTTGCCAATAGCAGCTACTAAACTAGGTAAGCCAAAATAATTACTATTCTGGGTAGATAGGAAAGTATTTTAAATATGCTTTTAAAAGTGCTAGTAATGAAGAAAAGAATTTATATGAATACAAGTCGATGGTGCCTAAGAGAAGAGAAAACTGAATCTTAATCATATTAATGGTTTAGATTAGAGACTTCTTTATTTTAAAAGATTTGCATTAGGCCAGTATAACTAAAATAATGCTATAAGTTTATGTAATTATTTAACAAATGTTTATTAAGAGTCTCCTATATGCAAGGCACCATTCTAACTGATAGTGATACATTATTAAGACAGACAAGATTTCTGAGTAAAATGAGCGTACATTGAAATGAGTAGAAACAGACAGTAAACACATCAGATAAGACAGTATCAGAGAGTCATATGTTCATCAAAGTAAACAAACTATATATAAAATAAAGCAGAAAACACAAGCTGCTAAATTTCTAAAGAAGTTAGAAATTGGGTGTGTTCAAAAGCAAAAGATGGTTTGAAGGATTGAAACCTTAGAGAATAATGTGGATAATTCCTCATGTGTGCTTAATTGGTTCATGTCATTATGGTAGCCAAATTCCAAGATATGCAATCTGAAGACCTGAAAATCAAAAAAACCAGTGGTGCAAGTTCCAGTCCAAGTCTGTAGACAGGAGAAGAATGATGTCCCAGCTCAAAGATCTTCAGGCAAAGAGACCAAATTATTTCTCACTCAGACTTTTGTTCTATTCAGACCTCAAACAGATTGAATGAATCCTCCTCACTTTCTGGAAGGCAATCTACTTTACTTTATCTACCGATGTAAATGCTATTCTCATCCAGAAATACCTTTATGAATGCATCCAGTATAATGCTTAACTGAATATTTAGGCACCCTATGGCCCAATGCAGTTGACACATAAAACTAACAATTACACCTCTGTTCCTTTGTTTCCTCATATACCAAACTAGGAAAAAGGACTCACCCTAAAAGGTGGTCAAGATAAATAACAGACTTAATACATGGAACGTGCTGGGACATGTTTTTATAGCATATAGTAAGCACTCCATAAATACTAGCCATTACTATTATTACTATATACTTCAGATTTTGTAGGAAGAAATGCAAAAGTAGAAATCTCAAATTTGAAATTGTTAGTATCCCATTATTAAACAATTTATGTTGAATCATTTAAATTTCAAAAATGTTTAGTGACAATAAGCTAAAAACAAAAGGAAGTTTTATAATCTACATAAAAATGGTGGTGTTCTACTATTTATAAGATGTGCTCTTTTTATCAAAGGTCTTCGTCATGTCACATCACCAAAATATAATACATTTCAACACTTTCAAGAACTAACCAAATCTACAGCCTCTGCACTCAAATTGGATAAAAATCTTGCTGGTGCTGATTGGAACATGATTGAGAAAGGAATTATACTTGAAAATCCATATGCAGTAAGCAATTAATATCTTCTGTTTATTTCATGTAGATATGACTGCCCTTAAGTATAAATCATGTCACAAATACTAATTTATAATTTTGTATTATAATTAATGTAGAAGTATTGATAATTTTTTAAAAATTTTTTTATTTTAAAGATGTGGGGTAAAATTCGGGGTTAGGTATGCAAATGTTCATTATACAGATACCCTTGTTGATGAAGTGTGTCTCTCCTCCCTTGGCAGTTTCTCACTATTGCCAATCCTTTTCCTATAGTATTAGGATAATTGTTCAAGGTCCACTTATGAGTGAGAACAGTTCTTTGTTTCTGTGATAGATCACTCAGTATTATAGACTCTAAATCTATCCAAATTGCTGTGAAGTTCATAATTTTGTCCTTCTTTAAGGTAATAGTCCATCATGTATATGTATCACATTTTTTTTAATCCACTTCTCTTTCAATGGGCAACATGGTTGGCTCCATGTTTTTGCTATTGTGAATAATGCTGCAATAAACATGCATGAGCAGGTATCTTTTTCATAGAGTGATTTGAGTTCTTTTGGGTATATTTCCAGCAGGGGGATTGCAGGGTCATATGGAAGGTTGATTTTTAGATCTTTTAGGAATTGTCACCATTTTTCACAGAGGTTGTACCAGCTTACACTCCCACCAATGGTATAGAAGTTTTCCCTTTTCCCTGCATCCTCTCCAGCATCTGTTGCTTTTTGAGTTATTGCTGATTGCCATCCTGACTGGAATTAGGTAGTATATCAGTGTGGTTTTAATTTGCATTTCTCTGATGACTAGTGAGACAGAGCATCTTTTCTCGTATCTGTTGGCTGCTCGTATGTCTTCTTTTGAGAAGTGTCTATTCGTGTCTTTTGCCCAGTTTATAATGGGTCTACTTGTTTTTTTGTTGTTTTTTTTTTCAGCACTTGAGTTCCTTGTAGATCCTAGATGTTAGGCCTTTGTCATATATACAGTTGGCAAATATTTTTTTCCCAGTCTGTGGGCTGTCTCCCTGCTCTCTTGATGGTATCTTTGTGCAGAAGCTTGTCATTTCAATGAGGTCCCACTTGTCCATCTTATCTCTTATGACATGGGCACTTGGGGTTTTGATCAGGAATTGGTTGCCAGTTCCAATTTCCATAAGGGTGTCTCCTGCATTTTCTAAGGTTCTTATAGTTTGAGGTTTTATGTTTAGGTTTCTGATCCATTTAGAGTTGATTTTTGTGTATGATGATAGGAGTCTTGTTTTAATCTGTACATGGTCAGTCAGTTTTCCCATTTACTGAATAGGTTCTCTTCTCCCTAGTGGTTGATGGTAGAGCCTTTGTCAAGGATGAGTTGGTTGAGATATTGAGGTTTTGCTTCCAGAATCTCTATCCTGTTCCACTGGTCTATATGCTTGTTCTTATAGCAATACCAGGCTGTTTTGATTATTGTAGCTTTATAATAGAGTTTAAAGTCTGGGAGTGTGATATCTCTTGCTTTTTTTGTTGTTGTTGTTGAGGATTGTTGTGGCTATTCATGGTCCTTTATGTTTCCATATGAATTCCTCTATTATTGTTTCCAAGTCTGAGAAAAATGCTGCTAGAAATTTAATGGGTATTGCATTAAATCTGTAAATTGCTTTGGGTAGGATTGGACAGCTTAGCAATGTTGATTCTTCCAATCCATGAGCATGGAATATTTTTCCATTTTTTTGTGTCATTTTTGATTTCTTTGATCAGTGTTTTGTAAAGTACTTTCATTGTAAAGTACTTTCATTTCTCTGGTTAGGAAGATGCCAAGGTATTTCAATTTCTTTGTGGCTATTGTGAATGAGATTGTGTATTTTATTTGGGTTTTTGCTTGTTCACTGTTGGTGTATAAGAATGCAACTGTCTTTTACACATTTATTTTATACCCTGAGACATTGCCAAAGTCTTTTATCAATGCAAGGAGGTTTTTGACAGATTCTTTTGGGTTGTTGAGGTATAGAATCATGTCATTTGCAAAGGGAGATAACTTAATTTCCTCTTTTCCTATTTGGATACCCCTGATTTTCTTCTCTTGTCTGATTGCTTTAGCTAAGACTTCCAATACTATGTTGGACAATAGGGGCGAGAGTGGGTACCCTTGTCTTGTTCTGGTTTTCAGGGGAAATGATTCCAATTTCTGTCTGTTTAGCAGTATATTGACTAAGAGTTTCTTGTAGATGTCACTTACTATTTTAAGGCATCTTCCATCTATGCCCAGATGTTTGAAGGTTTTTATCAAGAAAGGGTGCTGGATTTTATTGAAAGCTTTTTCTGCATTTAATGATATAATCATGTGGTTTTTGTTTTTACAACTGTTGATATATTTAATTACATTTATGGTCCTGGATACGTTGAACCAGCCCTGAGTTCTAGGGATGAAACCTACTTGGTCATGGTGGATGATTTTTGAGATGTGTTGTTAGAACCCCTTTGCTCGAATCTTGTTGAGAATTTTAGCATCTGTGTTCATCAAGGATATTGGTCTGTAGTTTTCTTTCTTTGTTGTATCTTTACTCAGTTTGGGTATTAATGTGATGTTAGCTTCATAAAATGATCTGGGGAGAGTTATATCTTTCTTAATTGCCTGTAATATTTTCAGTAGGATTGGTATCAGTTCCTCCTTGTGTGTTTTGTAGAATTCTGCTGGAAAGCCATCTGGTCCAGGGCCTTTTGGCGGTGAGGGGGTAGTTTTCTTATGATGTAGTCGATTTCCTGGGTCTACTTAGGGTCTCAATTTCTTCTTATTTAAACCTGAGGAGATTGTGTGAAGTCAGATACTCATCCATTTCATTTAGGGTTTCAAGTTTGTTTCCATACAAGTGTACATAGTAATCTCTGATAAGGTTTTGTATTTCTTTGGGGTCAGTTGTGATTTGATCTTTTGCATTTCTGATGGTGCTTATTTGAGCTTTTCTTTTCTTTTTTTTTTTTCTTGGTCTGTTTAGCTAGGGGTCCATCAATCTTGTTTATCCTTTCAAAGAACCATCTTTTTGCTTCATTGATTTTTTTTTGTATTATATTTTTGTCTTTTATGTCCCAAATTTGGGCTTTTATTTTGGTGATCTGGATTCTTTTGCTGAAGTTAGGGTTTTGGTGGTCTTGCTTTTCCAGCTTCCCTAAGTGATTTTTTTAGGCTGTTAACTTTTTATCTTTCCATTTTCTTCATGTGTATTTATAGAGATATGAATTCCCCGCTAAGTACTACTTTCATGGTAGCCCAGAGATTTTGGTAAGATATTTCTTCATTTTCTTTTTTTTCCAGGAATCTTTCAATTTCTAATTTGATTTCTATAGATCCAGGAGTTGTTTAGGATCATGTTATTAATTTCCATGTCTTTTTTGGCTTTGGGGAGCTTTGTTGGTGTTGATATTTATTTTTATTCCACTGTCTGTAGTTTTTAGTGGGGTATTTAAGTCCGCAGTTATGATAGGGTTAGAGTCAATATCTTTTTTCAGTTTACCTATAAGCTGCTTTATGAAAGTTGGTGTTCTTTTTTTTTAATATATTTTTTATTTTAAAATTGTGGGGTACAGTTAAGGGTTAGGTATACAAACATACATTGTGTAGGTACCCTTGTTGATGAGGTGTGCCCCCCGTCCCCAGACAGATGTCCACTACCGTTAATCCCACCTTCCCTCCCCACCCTGTCCCCCCAATAGTTTC